AAAAAAAAAAAAAATCATTAAATCAGCTGGGCATAGTGGCACACGCCTTTATTCCCAGCATTCAAGAGCAGAGGCAGGGGGGAATCTCTGTGAGGTTGAGGCCAGCCTGGTCTATATAGAAAGTTCCAGGCCAGCTGGGGCTACAGGGAGACCCTGTCTCAAAAAAAAATAAATTTAATAAAAAAACAAGTGTACAAACAAAAAATATTACACATTTCAGTCTAAAATGGTTAAGATGGTGGATCTGAGACAAGATCTCCCTGTAGCCCCAACTGGCCTGGAACTCACTATGTAGACCAGGCTGGCCTCAATCTCGCAGTGCTGGGATTAAAGGTGTGTACCCCACACCCAGCATTGTTATGTATGTTTTAAGACAATTAAAAAGAAGTCAAAAAGAGCATGAGTAGGCAGATGGGGCCCCTCAGTGCTGACCAAGGCTGGCACCATGGGAACTTGCCTTGGGCCCGTGCCAGTGGGTCCAACCCCTATACTCTCTAGTAATAGGTCTGGGGGAAAAAAATCTCAGTGGGCCATGCAGCTGTGGAAAGGCCCTGCCCTGTATGCAGCGTGCTGAGTGTGTCCCTCTCTCTTCTACAGAACAGAGTGAGGGGACGTGTCCCTCCGGGCCCACGCCAACCAACGGCAGCCACCTGCCAGGCCCCGAGAATACCCTCCTGACAGACAACTTGCTGCAGAAAGATGAGGCCAAGAGACAGAAGTGAGGAAGAAGGGAGGGATGGAGGCTCCAGAAACGGGGGGGGGGGGGGGGGGGGGGGGGAAAAAACACACACGGCGGGGGGCGGGGGGGGGGGGGGGGGGCGGGGGGGGGGGGGAGGGAGGGGGAGGCTAAAAAACCTACGTCGGGGGAGTCTGGGCAGGTGGGAGTAGAGACCAGTGAGGAGCTCTGTGGCCAGCCCTGGGTGTCCCATCTCATTCTTCAAGCCTCAGTTTCCCTGCCTTGGAAATGGAGTCAGGAGGGTTTTCTTGTTTTATGTAAAGACATATATCTGGGGGACTTTGATCCCATGGTCATTAGGCTGCTGGCAGTTGTGTGGTGGGTGACGCAGGATGACAAGCTAGAAACCGCCACCAGGCAGTCTAGGAACACTGTCTTTCTCTCCTCACCTCACTCCTAAGACTGTCAGCCAATTAAACCAGGCCCATCCACCTCACCAAGGATCTTCTGTCTGATGTGACATCAGACAATTGTAGACATTAGTCTCACCGAGAGAGACTGCAGATGCCCAAGTTAGTGTGTAGTTGTACTGGCCAGGAAGAAGACCCACAAATAAAGACAAATAAATGGTGTGCTAGGTGACAATTAAAATGATAAGAAAAACATTTATTAGGAAAGGGGAGACGAGGTGAGGCCATTCCAGGACAGTAGGTGTGATGAGAGGGACAGTCAATGAGAGTGACCCCTGCAGGTGTATATGGGAAGGATGTGACAGGCCAAGGGAACAGCCAGTGCAAAGGCCCTGAGGAAGGGCTTGCCTGGAGCAGCAAGGGGGTGAGTGTGGCCAGAGAGGAGAGGGCAGGGGCAAGGCCAGAATTCAAGAGTTCCTTTCCTGTTGGGCCTGACGCAGTCATTGTCAGCCCTAGCTTTGTATAACCTTCCTTCAGCCCCACGAGGGACCTTCTTTCTTAGCTGACAGTGCCTTGTCTCACCTGAGCAAGGTCCCAGTGTGGGCTGGCTGAGCATCCAGGCTCTTGCCCCATGCAGCAGAAGGGTCCTTTGGGGCAGGAAGAAGCAGGGAGACTGAGGCACTGACATGCTAGTCCCCATACTAGACAAGCCTCACAACATCCACTGAGGCAGAGCCCCATTTTACAGATGAGAAAACTGAGACCCAGAGAAGCAGGGTCAGCCACAGAGGTGCTACAATAGCTGAGCAGGCTGGACCCTGGATGCCCTGGGTCAGGGCTCCTCACAGATCAAGGTCTGGGCTGTGGGGAGGGCCTGACATAGAGCTGGACCAAGTCGGTCCCTGAAGCCAGCATGAGCAGACCCTTGTCTCTACAGGGGCCTTCAAGAAGTCCACATCACCTTGGCAGCCAGGCTGGGGGAGGCAGAGGAGAAAATCAAGGTCTTACATTCAGGTAAGACCCCTGCCTCGGGTCTCAACCTCAGACCAGCAGCCTGGACCAGGGAGAGGGCAGTGAAGCCTTGACCTTGGGGAAAGACTGGGCACACAAGTCTGAGCAAAGAGGTTCCAGGATCAGAGGGTGAGAGGGAACCAGGAACAGGGTGTGGAGAACCAATCCTTCCCACCCTACATCGGGGTCCAGCCGGACTGTGGTGGGAGCAGGGCTTGGGGCATAAATAGATGAGGTGACAGGGTGACAGTGGGCATGCACCAAAGGGCTGGTTGGGAGACAGTGGCCAAGATGGAGTCTAGGCCCAGTTTAGGTGTGGCAGCGCACCTTTAATCCCAGTACTCAGGAGGCAAAGGCAGGTAGATCTCTGTGAGTTTCAGGCTAGCCAGGCATATAGTGAGATCCTGTCTCAAAGAACCCTCACCCACAAAGGAAATTGTGGGACCTTCTAGAAACCTCTGTGGCTGTTACATAGTAGAACTTGCTGGCTATTCTGCAAAATCAGCCTCAGGGTGGGTTGAGGTTCACAGCCTGGCCTTACGGGCCTGCAATGCAAATGGCTGAGGGCAGCCCTATGGCCCACACCCAGCCTAGTGACTGTGATCCCCACACACAGAGTCCCCCCCTGCCCAGCCTGAAGCCCCTCTAGAAACAGAGGGCTCTCTGCCTGTTATCAGCACTTCCCTCCCTTTCCCACCATCACTGCCTTCCAACCAGGTGAGGCCCAGCCTGGTCACTGGGGCTTCACCTGGCTTTTTGCCTCTCCCAGCGCTAAAGGCCACACAGACAGAGCTACTCGAGCTGCGGCGGAAATACGATGAGGAGGCTGCATCCAAGTAAGTGAGCATCCAGTGGGAATGCCTCCTCCCTCTGACCCTCCAGACTGCCTCCTCCCTCTATCTCAAGCTTACCTTCCTCTTCTGACCCTCCAGCCTCTTCCCTTTGTCCACCTCAAACACTTTCCCTGTCTCCCACACATGCTGCCTCGTTCTGACTCTCCCAGTTCACTGCCAAGGCCCTGTTTCACTGAGATCTTTTCCTCACCCCCAAGCACACATCCAGACCATCTTTCCATAGCGCCTGCACACCAGTCATGACACTCTGGGACCCAGCCTCAGCTGCCCCTAGAGCTGTCCCCACTCCACAGTCCAACCCTGGGAGGCCAAGTGGCACCATCTGAATTACTCAGGGCTCCAACACTTCTTCAGGTTTAAGGCATCACTCACTCCATAAATAGTTATCGAGCACCTACTGTTTATAGAGTGCTGTGCTGAGTCTGTGAGGGAAACATCAGCTCCTCAGTCAGAGAGGGCATAGACAATAACTGGGGCAGTGTAAGCACTTACTGTATGTCTGGCACTGTGCTGAGCATGTGATAAATGCCTCCAAGGGAAGATCTTAACCAGGCAGAGAAGGCAGCAGGGGTGGTCAGGGGGAGGGGTTTCAGGTGTGTCAACACTAGGAAAGGTGCCCCAGGCAATGGGGACAGCCAGTGCCAGAGAAGGCTCAGTGTACACACCAGGTGTAGCCACTAATCAACCAGTGTCCCCCAGGTCCTTGGGTCCCCACTGAAGCTAGGCAGAGGGGAGGCCTGTCCTGAGCCCTCTGCTATAAATCTGGAGGAGGTGGCAGTGCAGTAGCCTAGCAGCCCCCAGGGAGTTGAGGCGGGCCTTCTTGAAGCCCTGTTGGAGCCATTCTTAGGGGAACAGGCACTCTGGACAAGCATGGAAGCAAAGGCCTGATGGGTGACACCCCAGAGAATGGGGTCCTGAGGGTGATGGGGGCCAGGCTGCCTGTGAAAGTATTGAGGCTGGCTCCCAGTTCCCCAGAGCCCATATTCTTTCCCGTGTAGACTGTTTTGTCTGTGGTGGGAGGCATGGAAGACAGGTTCCACAGACCCCACTGTGGGATGGGGTACAGGCGGAGGCTTCCAGCCCCCCTCAGGGCCTCCCCTTTGTGTCTCAGGGCAGATGAAGTTGGGCTGATCGTGACCAACCTGGAGAAAGCCAACCAGGTGAGTGCCTCCTCCTGGCAGGGGGCCAGGGATAGTAGGAGGAAGGGGTGCTGGGCACTGTGTGCCTGCCCAGGGTTTGGGTGGGAGATGTCTAGGCACGAGCTCCCTGGCCTTGCCCAAGCTTTCCACAGTGCCACAGCCAAGGCCTGGCCAGGGGGGCCCACAACCCCATAACTGGACATCTTCCTCTGGACAAAGCCACCCCCAAAGTCAGCATGCTGGCACTGTGGCAGGGCATAGGGTCATTTTCCTGGGATCACTGCAGGAAGCCCTGTGGCAAAGGACACCTTGGACTGGGTATCAGAGCCTAGGCAGAGTCCTGGCAGGAGCAAAAGCCTGGAAGAAGCCAGTTCTGTGGGCACAAAGTAGACAAAAATCCCTCCTGCCAAGGACACCCAAAAAGTGGGTGGATTCCAAGTTATTGTCCCCCTTGGGAAGCTTCCAAAAAGTGCAGCTCCAAGCTGGACATCCTCCTGGCTCCGAAAGAAAGCTGGGTCCCTCATATCTCCTGAGCCCCTGCTCAATGCCCCTCTTCGTCCCTGATAGGAGCAGTGGCTAATGGTCATATTAGTGGCTTACCTGGGCTCAGAGCTTGTGAGATTTTTGCTTTATTGTTTTTTCACTTGTTTTGAGTCAAGATCTCAAGTGTCTCAGGCTGGCCTTGGACTCCATATATAGATGAACTCCTCCTGTCTTTGCCTCCCAAGTACTGGGATCACAGGTGTGCACCACTACTCCCCATTTACAGTTTACATAGTGCTGGGGATCGAACCCAGGGCTTCCTGCATTCTGAGCAAGCACTCAACAAACTATTTCAAGTGACCAGTAAATGAGCCCCATTTTTGTAGGTTGCAGAGCATTCTTTGTCTAATATTTTTTAGTATATCATCCATTCAAAAACTGGTGACTCAGGGCAGATCTGGCAGTGCCCTTTCCCCACCCCATCTTGTCTCACCAGTTTCTAGAATGCCCACCCACTCACAAGGGGGTAGACCCGCCTGAGCCCTGCACACTGGTGCCTCCTGAGTCAGCATAAAACCCAGGACTTGTTGGTTGGCACCTGCCCTGTGTCCACTGACCCACCTTCTGCTAACCCAGGACAGCAGACTTTCTGTGAAATATCAGAAGATAAATATTTGGAGCTCTGCAAGCCACATATTCTATAACCCAGACAGGCAACTTCACCTTTGCAACTGGAAGAGGCAGAGAGCTTATCCATGAATGAGCACAACTGTGTGCTAATAAAGCTTTATTTATAAGAACAGGCAGTGGGCAGTAGACTGCTGACCCTGCTCTAGCCAGGCCCCTATGGGTGGATGAACTTTTATAGTCATACCCATCTTCAACCAACCACCATCTCTGTGACTAACCTCAAGCAGATACCATTTCACACAGGCATGAGCTGATTGGTAGGGCCAATTGTGGGAGGGGTCTAGGACTTCAGGAAGTGGCAGGTGGAGCCAAGCTGGCCCTATGTGCAATTGCACCAACTGACCCTCCCTCTACAGAGAACCAGCCTGGTCATCCTAAAACAAGGCCAGTACTGCATGTCTGCAAACTTTGAGATCTTTATCAATCAAAGAAGCTTAGGAAAAGAGATTGTAGCCAGATGTGGTGCACACCTGTAATCCCAGCACTTGGAGGTGAAGATAGGAAGATCAGGAGTTTCAGCTGAGTTTCCTCAGCTACATATCAAGTTCAAGGCCAGCCTGGGGTACATAAGATCCTCTCTCAAATAAATAAGCAAATGAAGAAGCAAATATGCAAATACAGTAAAGATCTACCATAGCCTCAATTTAGCAAAATGCCCTAGAAGGCAAAGTGACTTACCCAAAGAGGCCTGTCACAGGCTGTGAACCAGGGCCTCCTCTGCAGACACTCCCTCCAGGAGGCAGTCTAGATCGGGAGTCTGAGAACTGAGAAGCACTTGCCTTCTGACTAGCCCAGCCTACAGTGTACACAACTGAACCATGTGGGATGGGCACACACTTGCCAGCCCCCCCAGACAGCCCCTTTCCTTCCTGGCCTGGTAGAAGGGAGTGTTCCAGGTATGCCAGCATCACCCAGAGCCGCCCCTGGCAGCTTTGTTCTGTGTCCTCCCATCTCACCAGCAAACATGGGGTTGCTGTTTCTTTGTCCCCAGCCCAGAGCTCTGTGACGGGCTTCCTAGTTCCAGGCCTGGGTCCAAGACCAAGAAAATGGGGGCCTAGGCCCTTGGAGACCCGAGACGGTGCAGGTGTAAGGGTCCATGCGCCCCTTGCCCCTCGCCCACTCGCCCCTTCTCCTCCCCAGCGAGCTGAGGCTGCCCAGCGGGAGGTGGAAAGCCTGCGGGAACAGCTGGCCTCTGTCAACAGCTCCATCCGCCTGGCTTGCTGTTCCCCCCAGGGACCCAGTGGGGTAAGAATGCACCTGAAAGGGAATGGGAGGCAGAGGGAAAGATCCCAATATACAAATACATGGGTGGTGTTTGGAGGGCTGCTGGGTACATCCTTGTGGAATGGTGAGGTTGGTTGTATCTCTGTATATAGAGGGCAAGGCGTCTTCTTTGTGAATGTCACTGTAGCAAACTGTCAAGGTCAGTGTAGTAAAACAGTGTAGCTACTATTTTAAACATCCAAGCTCAAGTTTCTACTTACCCTTGTTTAAGTAAAAGCCTAGTATCTTCCTGTGGAGTCTCCCTCACCTCTGCCCAGAAATGACACAAGTATTCTAAGGCCAGAGGAAATGGCTCCCATTACCAAGAACCCCAGCAAAGGAGGAGCTTAGAGATGCAGTGCAGTGCAGATGTTGGCCACCAGGGGCACTGTTGAACATTAGTCTCACATGGCTTGGTGGCTGCTTGGACAGTGGGGCCCTGGCCTGTGTTCAGCCCCTACAGGACTGAAGGAGGATTAGAGCTTCTACTCCACCCTTAACTCCTAAAACCTTCCAGGATGACACCCGTGGGGCCTCCCACCAGAACCAAATGCTATGAAAAGCCAGTGTCATCTCTCCTGGGTAAAATCAAGCCCTATCTTTCTCTTTTGCCCTGACTAGCATCCCCTGGGATCCTACAGTCATTTCTTGCCTAAGGATTTTACCTAGCACTCCCCATTCTGCCCTTATGTCTTGTTCTAGGCATCTCCTCTCCTGCTTCCTGTAAACTGGTCTGCCTTTCCTACATCTCTGCATTCCAAAGAGCTAGGGTCACAATTCCTTCCTTAATTACAAGTGGTGATATGACTTCCACTTTCCCTAACACATAGGCCCCCGGGTCATGTCGAGTAGGCAAGTCACTGTGTCCTTTAATCCGACTGTGCCTCAGTTTCCTCATCCATCCTTACCTGCCTTACAGGGTTATAGAGAGGATTACATGGGATATTCCTACAATGTTGCTTAGTTCACAGAAGGTGCCCAGGAAACAGATGATGCTATGACTGTTGTCATGAACGAGTCTCTAGTTTGCACCGACATGTGTGCACATGTTGCGGTGACCCATTCTTGTCTCTTTGCTGGCCATGAATTTCTCTGTATATATGTGTCTGCATGAGAATCCAGGAAGGTGTGTGTGTATGTGTGTGTGTGTGTGTGTGTGTGTGTGTGTGTGTGTGTGTGTCCCAGGAGACTGTATGTTCATCAATCTGCTGGATGACTGTCCCACAGAGTGGACGTGAGTGAGGAAACATATGGGAGAGCAAGGGAGCTCCCTCAAACCCCTCGGGAGTAGTCACTGGTGGTTCTTAATTAACCCCTGTGGAACCCACAAATGGCTAATCAGCCACAGGGAGCCTGGCTGGTTGGGAGGCGAGCTTTTCTGAGCACAACAGTGGTGCTTGATGCTAATTAATTTAATGTATTAATGGCATCCGCTTCCTGTTTTAATTGGCATTTATCTCCATGGAAGAAAGTGGGGTTGGTAGTAGTAGGTTATTTTTGTCTGAAGGCTTTTTTTTTTCCAAATACTTCTTATATCGTGTAGCTGTGAGACCAGCCTGACTCAAGTCTGCCTCTGCCTTTCAGTGCTAGGATTAAAGGTGTGTACCACCACACCCAGCCCAGTTCAATGTCTTAATGAATGTTGCTCACATAAGAACTGTACATGTTATACACACACGGCATGTTGACTGGGTCACCATGACGTCAGCATACCCCATGACAACATTGGATGGAGTATTCTGTTCTTCTTGGGGTTCAGGGATGGTGAGCCCTGGTTCTACCCCTCCCAGCCCCTCAAAGCCCTCTCTCCCCCCAGGAGAAGGTAAGCTTCGCACTGTGCTCCGGGCCCCGGCTGGAAGCAGCACTGGCCTCCAAGGACAGGGAGATCCTGCGTCTCCTGAGAGACGCGCAGCAGCTGCGACACTCTCTGCAGGAGCTGGAGGAGGTCTCTGCCAACCAGATCGCTGACCTGGAGCGGCAGCTTGCAGCTAAATCTGAGGCCATAGAGGCAGGTCCCTGGCTGTTGGGTGGTAAGCAGTGGCTCAGAGCACAGGGCCAGCCTCACCATCCCTGTTTGTCTTCTAGAAGCTGGAAGAAAAGCTCCAGGCCCAGGCTGACTATGAGGAGATTAAAACGGAGCTGAGGTACAGTACCACCCAGGGATGGAGACAAAGCTGGTCACCTCCCAACCAGCTTCCCACTCTGGTGCTCGCGTTTCCTCCAGCCAGTATCTGGCATGTCAAAACTGGTCCACATGATGGCACATGTCTGTCATCCCAACACTTGGGAGGCTGAGGCAGAAGGAACATAAGTTTGAGGCCAACCTGGGCTACATAAGGAGACCCTATCTCAAACAAAACAAAAGAAAACAAACTGATCCTTTTCCATCAAATTTTCACCAGTACAGAACACAGAGATAGCCATTTGTCATGGGTGTGGAAACTGGAAGGTCACATAGCAACCAGATAAGCTCAGGGTCATCTTCCTCCAGAGACAACTGGAACCTGTGCACAGGCCTGCAGCTGTCACGGGTTTTCCATATAGAATTGAGTCTCAGTGTTGGGGTCAGATGCCCATACCTCTATTTGAATCGTGGTGTAGTCCAAGGAACTTAGGTACCACTTCCTGTGACTTAATCATCTCCTCTACCCATGATTTCTAGCTCAGTGGCCACGCATCTCTCCCTTCATGTGAAACTGCTGTAATGTTCAACATGCAGCCTGAGGCAAATTCAAGTTTTGGTTTTTGTAACTTTCTGGGAAAAGTTTTTTTTTTATATATTTTCCATCCATATTTGGCTAAAACTATGATGGGAGAGGTAGCTCAGTGGTAAAGCATTTTTATGGTATATAAGGGGCCCTGGGTTCCAGCTCTAGCACTACAAAGAAGGGACAGAAGAAAGGAGGAAGGAGAGATGGATAGACAGAGGAAGAGAGGGATAGAGAGAAGGAGGGAGGGGAAAAGAGAAAGGAAAACACCAGACTTGATGGTGCACATGTAGACCTGTGATTCCAGCACTTGGGAGGTAGAGGCAGAAGGATCAGGAGTTCAAGGTCAGCCTCAGCTACCTGAGACCACATCTGCAAAGAAAAAAATAGGGGATGGAAAAATGGTTCAGTGGTTAAGAGCACTGGTTGCTCTTGAAGAGGACCCAGGTTTGTTTCCCAGCACCCACATGGTAGCTAACAACTATCCTTAACTCCAGTTCCAGGGGATCTCATGCTCTCTTCTAGCCTCCATGGGCATTGCATGACACTGGTGCACTTACATACATGCAGGCAAAACACTCATACACATAAAATAAAACAAAATGAGGTGAAATATAGATAAAAGAAAGGCAAGCATGATGTGAGTGCATGGACCCAGGGCCAAGGGGGAAGGTCCCCAGCAAGGAAGGTGTGGGCAGTACCTCTCATGACCTCTCCTCCAGCCATAGCCTGCTGACCTCAGGCCCCTCTGCTTTCTCCTGCAGCATCCTAAGAGCCATGAAGCTGGCCTCCAGCACCTGCAGCCTCCCCCAGGTACATGTCCCCACCGCCATCCCTATTCCCAAAGGTCAGCTGCCCCAGAACCTGCACTAACCATACCTTCTCAGCCCTGCTTCCCATCTCCTCAGGGCCTAGCCAAGCCTGATGACCCACTGCTCATGGCCAAGGAGGCCTTCTTCCCCCCACAGAAGTTCCTGCTGGAGAAGCCAGCGCTGTTGGCCAGCCCTGGTAAGGGACAAGGGACATCCCAAGGAGCTCTTGGACTGAGGGCTGGCAAGGATGCCTGGGGAGTCTGGACTTTTCCATGCCCCAGGGCTATCCATGTGGCAGGAGAACCAGGAGCCAGGGATGTGGTTTGAGTGCCTGCTGTGTGTTGTTCCAGGGATGTAAGTTGAGTGCCTGCTGTTTGCTGATGTAGGGATGGGGACTGAACACCTGCTGTGTACTGTCCCAGGGTTGTGCACTGACCTCTGCTGTGTGCTGTCCCAGGGGTGTGAGTTGAGCCTGCTGTATACTGTCTCAAGGGGTGTGGGCTGAGCTCCTGCTGTATACTGTTCCAAGGAGGCATCTTTCCATAGATAGTCCCAGGGTTCTGGACACTTGCCTCTGAGTCCACCTGGACAATGGGGGCTTTGATAAGAACTCAGGAGTGGGGGAGGATATCCACACCATACCCCACAGATGATCCCTAGGGAAAGACCCACAGTCAAAAGTCACCTTCTCTTCACAAGTGGCTCTATGACCTTTAGCCCTCTCAGAAACTACAGGCTTATTAGTCCTTCACTTCTAAATTGGAGGTCACAGTGGAGCCTCCTGGGAGCACTGAGCTGAGTGAGGTAGGCCCAGTGTTACATAGGAGGCCTACAGGTGACAGAGATTCCGTCCCTGCTCTGATGACACACTGAGCTGATGTTACTGATAATAGTACATGGTTTCCCCAAACTGGCATTTGAAGGGGTCTGAAGACAGGGATGTGAGAATGGAGGGAAATGACTGGAATGGGCATTTACAGCTGCTGAGACTTAGAGCCTTTTCCTAACTCTGTCCCAACCATCCCATCTTTCTTTCTCCCTCCTCCTCCTGAACTCATCTTGGTCTGTCTGTCTTGTCTGCCCTCCCCCCATATTGTCTCTCTCTGCCTCCCTTTCTCATCATCTCTCATCTCTGTGTCTTCCCCATCCCTATTGGTCACTCTGTCCCTCTGTCTGTTTGTGTGTCCCTCCTGGCTTTCCAGAGGAGGACCCCTCAGAGGATGACCCCATCAAGGGCTCACTGGGCACTGAGCCCTCCTACCCTTCTCAACAACTCCCACCTCCACCTGGCCCAGAAGAACTGTCCCCGAGCCCCGGGCAGACTTTCTCGCTGTCCCCCTTCCCTAGCCTGGCATCAGGGGAGAGGTTGGCTGGGGACCCACTGCTCCCCAAGCACCTGATAGCCCCAGCTGCCTTCAAGGGGGAGGTGGGTAGTCTGCTGGCATTCCCACAAGCCTTCTACAATGGCACCAAGCCTTCCACGGCTGCTGCCACCCCAGCACCTGGCCCTGAGCCCCCTGGGGTCCCCGAGGCTGTGGATGGAGCCAGTCCGGAGGAGGAGCAGCTGGACACGGCTGAGATTGCCTTCCAAGTGAAGGAACAGCTGCTGAAACACAATATCGGCCAGCGAGTATTCGGCCACTACGTGCTGGGGCTGTCGCAAGGCTCCGTGAGTGAGATCCTGGCACGGCCCAAACCCTGGCGCAAGCTCACAGTAAAGGGCAAAGAGCCCTTCATCAAGATGAAGCAGTTCCTGTCAGATGAGCAGAACGTGCTGGCCCTGCGGACCATCCAGGTGCGACAGCGAGGTAAGTGGTAAGAATGAGCCACACCGCCTCCCAGTGGGTAACCCAGGGTGGCAATCTGCCACTCTGCCTCAGTTTCCCCTCTTTAGAGGAAGAAGTGTGGCTTTGCTCCCTCTCACACTGAGCCACCACCTCCCTCCCCACCGAACCCTCCTGAGGCAGGTTGGCCTAGACTCTGAGCTTGTGCCTCAGTTTCCTCATCTTTCAACCTCCTGGGGAGGATCTACATGGGCTCAGAACGCTGACCGCTGCACCCAGAATGGTGCAACTGCTTGAGAACAGTTAGCTGTGATCATCATCATCATGGTCTGTCACTGTCAAACCAGAGTCTGGGTAGGGACTTGGCTCAGCACTGGAGGCATGGCTCAGTTGTGGAACACTGGCCTGGCATGCATATGACCCTGGCTTTCAGCCAGAGCCTGGATCACCCACTGTTGGTCACATAGAAAAAGAGGGACCTGTACCCTCAGGGACAGTCTGTGCAAACCCTGATGCCCTGGACCTGGGGTCCTTCGGGAGGGAGAGGAGCAATGTCCACCTGGCCAGTTCCAGGGCCTGACTCCCATCTGCAGACCCCACAGCTGCCACCTTTGTGCTTCACCCCCCCAGGCAGCATCACCCCAAGAATCCGCACACCAGAGACAGGCTCAGATGATGCCATCAAGAGTATCCTGGAGCAGGCCAAGAAGGAGATCGAGTCTCAGAAGGGGGGTGAGTGTGGCTCTGACAGTGACATCTGACACCTCACTCTCTTAGGGCTGCTCTGAGCAGGAGGCAAGGCCTCCCTCACCACTGTCCATCACAGAGTGGTTCCAGGCAGGTCGCAACCTCCAGGGCCCAGATGGATCTTTCTAGAACACAAACATAGCCATTCCACTGCTCAGATGTCTTCAGTGGCTCCCCAGTGCCCTCAAGGTAAAATCCCAACTTCTCATCAGGACATCCAGGCCCAGTCTTAACAATCCTCACACCTCTCACAGGACTCTGTGGTTCCTGCCAGCCACTGTACCCTCACACTGTCCCCTTACCCAGGACATTTAGCCAGCTACCTTCCTTATGCTTCACCTCCTCCAAGAAGCCCCACCCCATCCGGATGGGCTAGACGCTTCCTGTTCTCAGTCCCCACACCTTATTGTGACCTGCAGCAGTGGATCTAGACTGGCCACAAATTCTAGTCTGCTGTTGATTAGCTGTATGACCTTGCACTAGTAACTTGGCTTCTCTGAGCCACCACCTCCTCATCTTTAAAATGGGGGCAGGATTAGTCCTCTTTTCTAAAGGTTGTGCCAGGACCCTGTGAGGTCAGTTCTCACCAGCCCAGGGAGGGCACACAGAAGGTGTTCTGGAAAGATTATTACAGTCAAAATCATTTTTCTTGTTGTGATCCAGCAATCAATGGCTCTGCCTTGTGGCTGTTCCTTCCACAGATCGGGAGACTGACCAAGCTGGGATGCTGGGCTCAGCTCTCCCTCACCACCTCACAGTGTCTGATGCCCCCTGGTGGGCTGTTCAGCACAGGTATCCCAGTTGCAAAGTCCTGTGAGGAAGGAAATGTCTGAGTGGCTGCCCTCCTACTGGCATGAGGGGTCCCCTCCCCTCCATCCCTGAAGGGATCATAGGAGAGGGGACACACCTGTGGGAGTCTACACTGTCCCACCATATAACACCTTGCAATACACTTTTTCATACACAGCAAGTCCTTTCTTCTTAGCTCTGGCAATGAGACCTACAAGGCAGATGATGTCAAAGTAAACATGCATTAAGCTCCTACTGTTTGCTAAATGCAGCCTACAGATATGGGTCTCCTCCCACTGTGCAGACAGAGCAACTGAAGCCAAGGGAAGCTGTGAGGTCAGTTACACAGGACCTGGGCGCCTGGTCCCCACAGTGCTACCCCAGGGGACAGGAACAGACAGCAGGGACATTTAAAAGGTGACACTGCAACCAAGTGTAATGATCACCCCAGCATGGGCAGTGGGCAGGGGCAGGAGAGGTGAGCACTCTACCACCAAGTTATATCCCCAGACCTTTTTATTTTCCTTTTTTTTTTTTTTAAGTTTGTACTTGTAAGCTTTTGAGATGGGGGCTCACTGAGTTACCCAGGCTGGCCTTGAACTTGTGATCCTCCTGCCTCAGCCTCCTGAGTGACAGAGATAACAGGCCTGCCCACCAGGCCCAGCTGAAAGACAGAACTGTTAACTTAGATAGAACTGGCTATGTCGACTCTCAGTGGGGACAGAGCAGGCCACAGTCCCACATGTCCAGTTTGCTTACATGCTGTGAGTTGTGCTCGAACTGGACTGGAAGGAAGTATGTAAGCAAGCTGGGTGTAGCTGCCTCCTAGAGGCTCTTCAGTGGCAGTCTCTTTTCCTGTCTGCTTTTCCATGCTCCATGCAGTAGGCATTTTTAATTTGAGGTGAAAAATCACATAAAATTAACAGGTTTGTTTCAGGGGAAGGGCTAAGTGCAGGTGCCCCTGGCACACAGGGGCCAGAGGAGGACACCGGGGTACCGCTCTCTCTTTATTCCCTTTGAGACAGGGTCTCTCATTAAACTTAGTGCTAGGCTGGTGGCCTGTAAGGCTCAGCCATCCCCCTGTCTCTGCCTCCCATAGTGCTGGGAAGACAGGCATGCACAGCCATGCCTGGCATTTTATGTAGGTGCTAAGGATCTGAACTCAGATCCTCATGTTTATGCAGCAAGTGCTCTTACCCTCAGAGCCATCTCCCCAGCCCCAAAATTAAGTTTTAAAGTACCCAGCTCCGTGACATTTAATAATTCCCATTGCTACATTGTCATAGTTCCAGAACATTCTCGCCTCCCTAAAAAAGACACCCTGTCCCTGTTAAACAGCTACTCCCTGTCCCACCCTCCCCAATCTGTTGCCGTCCTGCTCCTGTGAATGATGTCACATAAAAAGCAGCGTCTGCTTCAGTTCCCTTTAGTTCATTTTGTGTTTTCAACATTTTTCCAGACCATAGCCTGGATCACACTGTATCCCTTTTCATGACTAAATTATGGTCCATGGCAGAATTACTTTTTTCATTTAGAAAATATATTTAATGGCTCTGCAGAAGTCCCCAGGATGGAGACAGTGGGATTATGGAGGAAGGTCATAGCATGGGAAATGCAGCTGAGAGAGCAAAGGCAGCATCTGTTCACATACTGATTGTTCCCTATTGCTTGGGACATTCTCTCTGATCGCTTCTGGTGTGGCCTTTTCCTGGGTGTGTGCTCATTCATTCCTTCACAGAACCCACTGAGCCTCTGGGAACTGTGACCCCACCCTCTGACACTCACCTCCCATACACCTTCCCCCAGAGATAACTGTCAACCTCATTTTTTCCTGTTGTTACTTAGTGTTTGCCATTTGCTAAGATTTTTCCCTAAATTACATATGGTTTCATTTGTTTGCTTAGTAGCTTTGTTGGAGACATTCTAGACTGTAGGTCATTTCTAAGCCTTTGTTTTCACCACCAGTATTATGTTATTAAGATTTCTGCCTGGCTTTGCAAGGCAGCTTCCTTTTTGATGCTGTATAGTATTCTTTGTGTCCACGCTATTATGTGTCATCCACTCTTCTGTCCATGGGCATTTGAGTTTGTGCCATGATTCTGCAATAGACTATGTAAAAGAGCATCTTCCTATGTCACTGCATCTTTCTTTGAATGTTTACATCATTGGATGATGGCATATACAAAGATTTTTTTTACATTGTGTGCACTCCCTCCATATATGCTAAAATCTTTCTATTGGTCTGATTTTTTTAATGGCTGCCTAATATTCTACCGTACAGATAGGCCAAAACTTACTTAACCAGTCCCCCATTGCTGAACACAGAGGTCGCCTCAACATTTGGCTAGAATAAACATGGATGCCACACACAGCTTTGCCCTGATGCTGGCCCCGGGCCACCATCACCCTCCCTACAGGTGAGCCCAAGAACTCAGCAGCCCCTTTGAACATCCCCAATGGTTCAGCCTCCTCCAGTACCTCGGAAGATGCCATCAAGAACATTCTGGAACAGGCTCGCCGGGAAATGCAAGCCCAGCAGCAGGCCCTGCTGGAGATGGAGACAGGACCCCGGGGTCGCTCAGTGCCTCCCTCTCCCCCTGAGCGGCCCTTGCTGGCCACTGTGAGCCAGAATGGGGCTCCGGCCTACGTGAAGCAGGAAGACAGAGGTGGCAGCACACAGACCCAGACGGCGCTTACTGTCCTGTCCCCAGCTGCGTTTGTGCAGAGTATCATCCGAAAGGTCAAGTCTGAGATTGGTGATGCTGGCTACTTTGACCACCACTGGGCCTCAGACCGGGGCCTGCTCAGCCGCCCCTACGCCTCTGTATCACCCTCCCTCTCCTCCTCCTCATCCAGCTATTCTGGACAGCCCAGTGGACGGTCCTGGCCTCGCGTGGATGAGGCAACCCCTGCCCCTGAGGAAGAAGCTACCACGGGCGAGGATGAGTCCCCCAGGGTGGGTGAGCTCAAGGCCGAGGCTGGGGTCCCTGAGGCTGGCAGCGGGAGACTAGCCTACTACCCAGCCTATGTGCCCCGCTCGCTGAAGCCCACCGTGCCTCCCCTGACACCCGAGCAGTATGAGCTGTACATGTACCGGGAGGTGGATACCCTGGAGCTGACCCGTCAGGTCAAGGAGAAGCTGGCTAAAAATGGCATCTGCCAGCGTATCTTCGGGGAGAAGGTGTGGGCATTGGGGGGGGTGCCTTGGGGACCTAGAAGTGAGGCCTCAGCCCTGGAGCCTGTGTCTGGAGGCAGACCTGGGTGGGAAGCAACAGTTTGGACCCCTGTTAGACATATGTCCTGCATCTGGCCACCCATGGCCAGTAAACAGCCAGTCACCTGCCCTCCAGAGCCTTCTAGACATGGTCTGGATCCTAAAGGGGTAAGGGCTCAGACCAGCCTAGCACTACTGTTCCCAGGTGGTGCTGGAATATCAGATTTAAGTTACAGAGGCATGAGAAAGGGCCTGGAGAAGAGACCTAAATGTGAGGCACAGGGTGGCTTCCTGGAGGGGACAGCTGGTGGCTTTTAAGGGCCAGGCAGGGGTTTTATACACAGGGTGGTACTGGAGGTGAAGGACTGAGTGAGAGGATCAAAGGAGAGCCAGCTCCCAAGAACCTAGAGGGAGGGCCTGGAGGCCATGGCCCAGGGCCTGCTGACCTATCACCCACCCACAGGTGCTGGGACTGTCCCAGGGGAGCGTGAGTGACATGCTGTCTCGGCCAAAGCCATGGAGCAAGCTGACACAGAAGGGCCGGGAGCCATTTATCCGCATGCAGCTGTGGCTGTCAGACCAGCTGGGCCAGAGCCAGGCCCCAGTCCGGCAGCCCAGCACCTCCCAGGGTGAGTGCAAGGGGCAGCAGACTTCACCCTACATCACCAGACCTCCCTACCTGCCTCTGCCCCTCTCTCCATCCCCAACACCAGGCTCTAGGCACAGCCTCCATTGATCTTACCACCTCCCTTCCCTAGAAGGACACTTCCTTCCACCCTAACAACAGATGTGGACATCCTGGTGGTGTCCCTTGAGGGGGCCCTGGATACCTAGAGCAAGTGGGAAAACCATAGCCTACAGAGCCCTGAGCCCTCCCACACGATCAAACTTTCTGGCTCCCTAGAGACCCAGCACAGTGCTCAGAATCCTTAAAACAGGCCTTGGCCCTTGGCAGTTCTTTAATGAGGTCATGGGCAGGTTGGAGTCTGAATTTTTCAAGGTAAAAATCCTGAGACTAGGACAGCTCATTTGTCAGTCTGTGGCTACAAGGGAGGGAAACGCTGTCAGCAGACAGCCAGAAGGCAGACAGGTAACAGACAGGACAGACAGGACAGACAGGAAGCAGACAGGACAGACAGGAGGTAGACAGACCATACAGGCAGCAGACAGATGACAGACAGGTCAGGCTGGACAGAAGGCAGGACAGAATGCAGACAGACAGGTGGCAGACAGGGCAGACAGGCAGTAGACACAATAGACAGGAAGCAGAGAGGACATACAGGCAGTTGACAGGATGAACAGACAACAGACAGGTGACAGGCCAAACAGGCAGGATAGACAAGTGGCACACAGGCGGCAGACGGACAGATGACAGGCCAGACAGAAAGCAGACAGACCTGATAGGCAGCAGACAGGACAGGCAGGTCAGACTGACAACAAAGAGGATAGACAGATGACAGGTGACAGGCCAGACAGGCATAAAGGTGACAGACAAACAGCGGACTGGACTGATGGCAGCAGACAGGCGACAGACAAGCAGCAGACCAGACAAGCCAGAGCAGGAGACAGGCAAGATTAGACAACAGGTGGGTGGTACTAAGGTGGCAGACAGGCCAGACAGACAGTAAGAAGACTGTCATATGGACATGCAGACAGGCCGGATAGACAGACAGGAAGCAGACAGGCCAGACAAGGAGATAGCACTTTGGGGACTGGGGCAGGATTACAAGACCAGGCTGTACAATTTGGGGAAACCATGTCTCAAAATGATATCTTTAAAAAGGAGTTGAGGGCCGGGCGTGGTGGCACACGCCTTTAGTCCCAGCACTTGGGAGGCAGAGGCAGGCAGATCTTTGTGAGTTCAAGGCCAGCCTGGTCTACATAGTGAGTTCAGGTCAGCTGAGAATACAGGGAGACCCTGTCTCAAAAAGACAAAAATAAATAAATAAATAAATAAAAAGGAATTGAACTATAAGCTCAGTGGTAGAATGTTTACCTAGCATATGCAGCACCCTGTGTTCCATTCCCGGTACCAGACACACACGCACGCACACACACACACACGCTATCTGTTACTGTGACCACCACCCTGGTCAGTCCTTTCTGAGGTGTCACTGCAGTGGCTACAGGTAGCTTGGTGCCAGTCTTGGCTCTAATCAGCCATCCTGCCCCAGTCTTGCCAGATCAGTGACCACTCTGTTGTCTTGCCTACAGCCAGTCCTAATGAGCCAAGGTCCTCGCCATCACCTCCCCCAAGCCCCACAGAACCTGAGAAGAGCTTCCAGGAGCCCCTGGGCCTGTCACTGGAGAGCAGCAAAGAGAACCAGCAGCCAGAGGGCCGTGGGAAGATGTGCTCAAGCAGCCCAGCAGTGGGGGGCATCCAGGAGATGGTGGCCATGTCCCCGGAGCTGGACACATATTCCATCACCAAGAGGGTCAAGGAGGTCCTCACAGACAACAACCTAGGTACGGGGCAAGGACTGGAACACTGCCTATGGCCCTGGTTGACTCTTCTCAGCCTTAAAAAAAATGTGCTGCAGGGTCAGCCCAGTGACCTCAGGGTCAGCCTGGGCATGTAGGCCCCTGTGTGGGGCATGTGACTCTGAACCAGGTCCCTGCTGAGAGACAAAAGTGAGGTGGTATGGCCTGCAGTCCTCCACCCCCAGCTCTAAAAACTGATTTGCAGATGGATTTAGTGAGCCCCAGTCACTGTAGCCAATGGTAACACTCATCCAGGGGCAAAATGCTGCCCTTCAGGGGCTCAGTGACTGGGTGACCAGGTGACTATCCCAGCTCTTTTCTGGATCATAAACTCCTGAGGCCCATGTGCCAGCCCTACCCCATATCAGGGACACGTGTAAACCTGAAACCTGTCACCCCAGCTTCTGTTATGACAGTAAGGACAGGGTTGTTCCAAAATAGCAAACAGGAGTTGGGTGTGGCACTCACACAGCAACCTGACCACTCAGGAGGCCGAGGCAGGAGGACTGCTGCAAGTTCAAAGCCCGCCTAGCTATGGTGTGAGACCTTGTCTCAAAAATATACAGAAATAAGTGAATGAATAAGTATGTCTAACAGTCAAGTTTAACAAATAAGTTAAAAAGCAAGAGAGATGATTCAGCACATAAAAGCACTAGCTTCTCTTGCAGACAACTTGAGTTTAGTTCCCAACACTTATATGGCAGCCAACAACCATTCCTAACTCCAGTTCCAGGGGATTCAATGCCCTCTTCTGGCCTCCATGGGCACTGAACACATGTCAGTGTACTAACATGTAGACAAAACACTCATACACATCAAATTTTAAAACAATAATAAATATAAGATAATTAAATTTTTAAATATTTAAAAAGGGAGGTGGGGAAAAAATGTAAACAGGAGATCAGGAGAGATGGCTCAGCAGAAAAGTGCCTGCCACACAAGCATGAGGGCCTGGGTGGGATCTCCAGCACCCCTGGAAAAGCTGGGTGTGGTAACACACCTCTGTAACCCAGTGTTGGTAAGGGTGGAAAGAGGTGGATCTCAGGAACTTACTGGCCAGCCAGTCTAGCTGAATTCACAAGCTCCAGGTTCAGTGAGAGACTCTGTCTCAAAAAATAAGGTTTTGAGGGGCCAGAGAAATGGCTCAGTGGTTAAAGGCACTGGCTACTCTCGAAGAGGGCCAGAGTTTGTTCCCAGCACCCATATTGGGTGGCTCACAACCCCCTGTAACTCCAGCTACATGAAATGTGATGTCCTTTGCTAGACTCCACAGGAACCTGCACTCACACATGCATGCATCCTCACATATACACATGCACATGCACACATAATTAAAAATAAAATAAATCTGAAAAAAGATAAAATAAACCTTTTTTTAAAAAAATTTGGAGAGCAATTTAGGAAGACCTTTGACCTCCACATGCACACACCACACACAACACACACACACACACACACACACACACACACACACACACAGCATGAGAGCCTGAGGCAGGATCAAGAGTTTGAGGCCAGGGGCTAAAGAGATGGCTCAGCAGTTAAGAGCACTGGCTGTTCTTGCAGAGGACCCAGGTTGTTTTGTTCCCAGCACCCATATGCCAGCTATCTTTCTGAAACTCCAGTTCAAAGGGATCTGACAGCCTCTTCTGGCTTCCATGGGCAATGCATGAACATAGTACACTTACATACATGCAGGCAAAACACACATAAAATAAAAATGTTTTTCAAAAAAGAATTTGAGGCCAGCCTCAGTGACGTATATAGTAAGATCCTATTTTTAAAAAAAGAAAATTAAGGCTGGGCATGGTGGTACATGTCTTTAATCCCAGCACTTGGGAGGCAGAGGCAGGCAAATCTCTGTGAGTTCAAGGCCAGCCTGGTCTACATTGGGAGTTCCAGGCCAGCTGGGGCTACAGGAAGACCCTGTCTCGCAGGCCAGCGGGGGATATAGAAAAAAAAAAAAGAAGGAAGGAAGGAAGGAAGGAAGGAAGGAAGGAAGGAAGGAAGGAAGGAAGGAAGACCAAATAGGGACTGGGGTGGCGGAGAGCTTGTACAAGACCCTGGTTAGATCCCAGTACCCCTCCCCACAGTCTGCATTGCTTGGGCAGGTATCCTCCTGGGTTACTCCTGGGCAATGGATTTCCTAGGTCAGAGGTCACATACATTTAAAATTCTGGTAGAACCTGGAGGTTGTCCTCCAGGAGGTGGTACAAACTTGTGTACAGGACATTTGCTGGCAGTCTCAGGGATTCCCTAGGAAGTCAGAACCCTGTAAACAGAAAGGCATTTTTGTGGGTTGCTGCCCAGTGTCCCCCTCAAATCTCTTGTGTAAAAATGTCCCATCAAGCCATCAGTGGTGGCCCGCACCTTTAATCCCAGCAGAGGCTGGCAGATCTCTGAGTTAAAAGCCAGCCTGGTCTACATCGTGAGCTCCAGCCTGGCCAGGGCTACACAATGAGACCCTGTCTCAAAAAAAAAAAAAAAAAAAAAAAAAAAAGTTCCATCAGATTGCTTGGGTCCTGTGTCCTGGGCCCTCCCTCCCTGGACTGCTCCTCATCTGACTATCCCAGGAGTGGGTCTCAGTCCCTAACCTGGGGTGACAGTTGCCCTCTGCCCTGTCCCCAGGGCAGCGGTTGTTTGGCGAGAGCATCCTGGGACTGACACAGGGCTCTGTGTCAGACCTGTTGTCACGGCCCAAGCCTTGGCACAAGCTGAGCCTAAAGGGCCGGGAGCCTTTTGTACGCATGCAGCTGTGGCTCAACGATCCCCATAATGTGGAAAAGCTGCGAGACATGAAGAAGCTGGAAAAGAAAGGTGAGAGGCCGGGGAAGCCAGCTACGGGGTGCAGTCAACCTGAAAACCCTGCCACTAGCAGCAACTGAAATATCCACTTCTCCCTCAAAAATCATACACAGTAGCTCTCATGCCATCCATATACCCAGATCTGGGCACAACCTTGCCAACCTTGGCTGCATGCTGCACCACATTCTTGATCAGTTCTCCCTCCCTCCTTAGCCCTCCTCCATTTGATACACTTCCCTGTGCTCCTTACCCAGCAGAGAGCAGACCCACCCAGAAAAAGAGACAGACTGGTGTCCCAGTGGTTCCTTCAAGGACAGGCCCCTAGGGGTTAGGAGTATAGCTTAGTTGGGAGAGTACTTGCCTAACGTGCAAAGACCTTGGATTCCATCCCAGCACTGGATAACCAGGTATGATGGTGCACACCTATGATCTAGTACCAGTCAAGAGGTGGAGGCAGGCCAGGAGTGGTGTCTCATGCCTTATAACCCCATCAGTGGCAGGCAGATCTCTGTGAGTTCAAGGTCAGCCTGGTCTACATAAAGAGTTTCAGACCAGATGAGGCTACAAGGGAGACCCTGTCTCAAAAATAAAAGAGGTAGAGGCAAGACAGTCAGAAGTTCAAGTTCATCCTCCACTACATAATGAGTTAGAGGCCAGCCTAGGCTACATGGACCCTGTCTCAAAAAATTAAAATAAAGGCATACCACCAATAATCTAAAGACCTCTTCTTGCTGGGCCCCATCCCTTAAAGGTTCCAACTGCTTCCAAAAGTGCCCAGCTAGGACCAAGCCTTCCACATAGGCTTCTGGAAAACCTTCTGAATCTAAACTGAAGCAGACTTTTGTTTGAATTTGTTGTTTTGAGATTAGAATGAATCCAACAGTGAGTGGGTTTACTTAAATTAGTCCCCCAGACTATCCTGAAGTGTCACAGAGCACCCCAATTTGAGCACTACCTGTGTTTGCTTCCCCCTCTGCCCTAGCTGTATCCCAGTAACCCCCCTCACCCTAGCAGGCCTCATAGACATCACGATGCAGTCAGAGAACAGGCCAGTGGAGGGGTGGGGAGCAGGAATAGGCAAAGGGGATGAGACTGGAGAATACAGGGATGGGGGAGGGCTCTGCAGGGCTGGCTGATCACTGTCCCTGAGGTTCCCATCATCCTAAAGAGCAAGTGGGACAGTGATGGCCTGTCAGTCTCTCCCCTCCCTCCTCAGCGTATCTCAAGCGCCGCTATGGGCTCATCAGCACCGGCTCTGACAGCGAGTCACCGGCCACACGCTCCGAGTGCCCCAGTCCATGCCTGCAGCCCCAGGAGCTGAGCCTCCTGCAGGCCAAGAAGCCTCGTGTGGTGCTGGCGCCTGCCGAGAAGGAGGCACTGCGGAAGGCCTACCAGCTGGAGCCCTACCCCTCGCAGCAGACCATAGAGCTGCTGTCCTTCCAGCTCAACCTCAAGACCAATACCGTCATCAACTGGTTCCACAACTACAGGTGGTCATGGGGACCCAGGGGCCATGGAATCACAGAGGGACACAGGGACACAGAGGGCCATGGGGGACAGAGAAAGACACTGACACAGAGGGCTGTGGGGGCACAGAGGGCCATTGATACCCAAAGTGACAGAGGGCTATGTGTGGGGACACAGGGAACCAAATGGACACAGGGGTTCATGGGGTACACAGAGGACCATGGGGACACAGGGAACCCAGAAGGACACAGAAGGTCATAGAAGACATAGCCACAGGGGACCATGGGGGACACAGAGGAACACAGGTCATGAAGTCACAGGGGACACAGAAGGCCACAGGGACACCAGAGACACAGAGGGACACAGGACATGGAAGGCCATGGTGACACGGCATAGGGACACAGAAGGTCATGGAAGACAGAGGGGAACAGAGAGCCACAGGAAAGACCTGGAAGTTCTTGGGAACACTCCAGAGGGCAGTTGGGACCTAGGCACTGTAGCTGGATTACACAGCTATTTGCATTCACAAATGCATGTGAATATAGCCCAGCTCTGTCACCTCAGCTGAGGACTCCTGAGCAGGTCATGTCCCTTCCCTCAGTCCCTTGTTTGAAGCTATAAGGCAGGAACCCCAGCATATCCTTTCTTGGGTGTCCAGACCATTATGTAAACACCTGGCTCAGGCATAGGCCAACACCCAGTGTGACCATTAACTGTCACTCTCCAACAACAGCTGCCTCTAGGAAGGAATTCAGGCTCGGGCCAATACTTAAGGAGCCTCTGGCTGGAGCCCTAAATGGAGGCTCATGGTCCCTTCTACTTCAGAGAACAAAGGAAAACCCTGCCCCACTGCAGCCCAGTGAGCCCTCCTGTAGCTCCTCTTCCAACCTTTCCCTGGTCTCAGAGCTCTAGCTGCTCTGACTCCCTGAGGTCACAGAGGACTCCCTGAGGCTGCCTGGGACCCCTCCTATCAGGCTTGATGAAGGCCACAATTAGCCATCTCTGAGGCTCCACCCACTTCCTGAGTAGGAAATGTAAAATGTCACTAGTGCCCATGTGACACCATGGAAGCCTATCCACCCATCCCAGGGGTAGAGAAAGGTCTTGAGACCCCCCAAAGAGGAAGGGAGACTGGGTTAGTGTACTCAGATCCCTTCTCCTCAGCTTGTATGTTGGCATCACATAGACCTGGGATCAAGTCCCACCTTGGCTGTGTGGCCTTTGTCTGATCATGTGCCTCTCAGAGTTTCATCCTGATTTTACAAGATGAGGAACATCACCATATCTAACTTGTCCCCCAGAGCCAGATCAGTCAGATGAAGCCAGTGTGGAAGTGAGCACAGCCCATCAATGGCTTCTTACCCCTCTCAGACCACAGATGACAGAACATGGGACACAGTGACAGGGGGGCTCACTTCTTATTGCCCACAGGAGCCGGGTGTTCTGCTGTCATCAGCACATTCATTCAAAAGCATGACCAGTGTATGCATAGTGAGCCAGGCTCTGGAAACCCGAGTTCAAAGCCACCATCCCTGACCCTGAGAAGCATACATGAACCAGGTTGTTTCACCTCAACCAGTTAAGTATGGCAAAATAAAAGAACAGGGCTTTAGGAAAAAGAGAATTTTGCCTAGAGAAAACTTGACAGAAAAGGAGACACTTGAGGTGGGTTTTGAAGGATGCATACAAGTTTGTACCAAGAAGCAGATAGAATTCTACTTCCAAAAGAAACCACCCAGACCAAAGATGTAGTGTGCTTGCTTGCCAAAAGCAAGGCCCTGAGTTCAACCCTAGCACTACAAAAAAAAAAAAAAAAAAAAAAAAAAAAGGGAGGCAGGAGATGGTTCCATTGGCAAAGCGTTTGCTTGCACAAGGTTGAGGACCTGATTTTGATCCCCAGAACTCAACATTAAGAAAAAAAAAAGCTATGCATTATGGCTCAGAGGGTAAAGGTGCCTGCCAAAACTGATGACCTGAGTTTGATCCCCACGATCCACATGGTAAAAGGAGAGAACCAACTGATTCGTGTAGTAAAACTTAAAAATAAAAGCCACATGTCACACACAGTTACAGAAGAAAACACTGTTTATTCCATAGTATTTTCTGAGCACCTCCAGAGAGGAGGACGGTCACCACCCTAAGCACATCCCAATGAGCAGGTTCTTGAGGTCACACATGTGACAAGCCACAGGGAGCCCCGGAAAGAAGGATCAATGAGAATGATTGGATATGATGGGGGAGGAGCCACTGTATACATGGGTGTATAGCACATACCTATAACCCCAATACTGGGGAGGTAAAGGAAAATTCCCCAGGGCTCCCTGGCCAGCCAGTCTAGCCAATCAAGAATGTCATATTCACTGACATACCCTGTCTCAAAAATAAAGTGGAGACCAGTCAATAAGGACGTCAGCCTCTGGCCTCTAGGCACACATGCACATGCATGTACATAATTTTTTTAAGGAGTAGGTACTAGAGAGACAACTCAGCAGTTAAGAGCATTCACTGGCTGCTCTTGCAGAGAACTTGGGTTCAGTTCCCAGCATCCACATGACAGCTAATAACTGTCTATAACTCCAGTTCCAGGGAATCCAATGCCCTCTCCTGGTCTCTGCAGGCACTGAACACATGTGGTGCACTTATATACACACAGGCAAAAACACTCATATGCATAAAAATACAAATACATTTTAAAAACTAAGGTGTAAGCCTGGGCATAGTGGCATAGGCCATTAATCCCAGCATCAGGAGACAGAGACAGAAGCAGGCAGATCTCTGTGAGTTTAAGACCAGCCTGGTCTACAGAGAAGTTTCCAGAATAGCCAGGGCTACATAGTGAGACCCTGTTTCAAAACAACAAAAACAAAAAGTGTCAAAAGATTGAAGAAGACACCCCAACATCGACCTCTGGCTTCCATGGGCACTTGCACACATGAACACATACATATTCACACACAAAAAACCCTCAAACAGTTACAGAATACTGGTCTATAGTGTTTTCTGTGCCCAGAAAGGGGGACAATAACCACCCTAAGCACATCTTGATGAGCAGGTTCTTGAGGTCACACATTGTGACAAGCCACAGTGAGCCCTAGGAAGAAGGAGCAATGAGAGTGATTGGATATGATGGGGGAGGAGCCACTGTACACATGGGTGTCACCTAGGGCAGCGGGTGGGACACAAACGCTGTTCCCATGGACTGAGTCTGAGGTCAGCAGCCCCCATTGAGCCCAGGCTCACCTTTGTGTCTGCCACAGGTCCAGGATGCGCCGTGAAATGTTGGTGGAGGGAACGCAGGACGAACCAGACCTCGACCCAAGTGGGGGTCCCCATGTCCTAACACCAGCCCAGACCCACACAGACCCCACCCCACAGAGCCCTGACTCAGAGGCTGAGGACCAAAAGCCCCCTGTGAAAAGCCTGGAGCTGCAGGAGCCTAAGGAGAGTCCCATGCCCCCAAGTGTCCCTGACAGGGCACTGGTGAGGATCAAGCAAGAGGAGGATACAGAGGCAGAGGGGGGAAACCAGCCCCAGGACTTAGGGGGACCAGAGAGAGGGCAAGATGCACCCAAAGAGAAGAATCTCCACTTTCTGGGGAACAATGAACTTCCAGAGCTGGCCCCTGGGCCTCTGCTTCCAGGTGCACCCAGCCCAGACTGCCCCTCACTGCACAATCCCCAGGAGGAGGTGGGGGAGCCGCTTCACTCTGATCCTCTGAGTTTCAAGTCTGCCTCGGAGTCCTCACGCTGCAGCCTGGAGGAGCCACCAAACTCACCCTCTGCAGCCTCCTCACCAGGCCTCATGACATGTGTGTCACCTGTCCCCTCCTCCTCAGCCTCCATCTCCCCATCCCTTCCTGGTGCCCCACCTGCTAAAGTGCCGAGTGCCAGCCCCACTGCAGACACAGCTGGGGCTTTGCACCCCAGCACCAAGGTGAACCCCAACTTGCAGCGGCGGCATGAAAAAATGGCCAACTTGAACAGTATCATCTACCGACTGGAGAGGGCTGCCAACAGAGAGGAGGCTCTGGAGTGGGAGTTCTAAAACCAGGGCAAGAGGTGTGCCCCAGAGGCCTCCTTTTCTCTCTTTCCCAGATGGGGTGGGTCCAGAGAAGCAAGACTCAGCCATGCAGATGTGGACAGCCATGTTATGCCATTTACGTTTATTGTTGTAACCCTAGATCCCTGAAATCGAGTGTGAGCAGATGCCACCGCTTCTTGTTTTGGGCAACCCCTACCGTAGGAGGCATGGTAATCCTGCCCTTGTCCCCTCCCAGATCTTCTGTAGGAGGCAGGAGCAAATCGGCACCACATTCTCACCCAAAAACTCCTCTCTTTTAGAAAAATAAAGAAATATTTATAGACCTCTTTTAGCTATTTTAATAAAGGATCCTTTGGAATTTATTCCCAGCTGATGCCGTTTTGATATTACAGAGAGTTATAAAATCAGGATGCTGTCACGACTGTTTTGGAGTAGACACTGAAGCTGTGTCATTTTTGCCACAAGATGAGATTAAAAGAAGACAATTGTTTAAAGCCATCACAAAACACTCAAGACTGACCAAATTCAGAGAACGCTTGAACTGCCGTTTAATTTGTTTGTTCTTTCCCACTCCTGTCTGTGAGACACAGCACATTGCTACTGCCTTTCCAGAAACTGCTGAAAAGAGAAAGTCCAAAAGACTCTAAACAAAAGCCTCCATGCCATTGAGGATATGGTCCGTTCTGGCAGACTCTGCAGCCTCTTCTTCACAGGAGGCCCTGTTGCTGATGGGAATGTTACAGTGGTGTGGGCCAAGGCCCAGGCAGCCCACACAGGTTGTGGTGTGTTGTACAAAACATACGTCTCCACTCCCTGAATTTAGAAACCTGTGGGCCTCAGGTAGCCTTCCATCCTTACCATATAGAGACAGAAGGAGTTTCCAGAGCCTTTGAAGAGCTGGATGTGGGGCAGGTGCTCAGGGGTTGTGCTTATGCCAGAGTGACCCTTGTTTCCCAACCTCAATGGTGGCCACATCCAGGAAGGCCCCCCCACCATGTGAGCAAAGTGTTCCATTCCTGAGGAGATGTGGCCACCATCTTCCCTCCTTGTTTCTAGAAAGTGGAAGTGTTGGTTCTCCACAAGCTCTGAAGCTTAGCAACCAGACAAAAAACTAGAACCATCCAGTCGGAGCACTCAACTCCCTTTCCCACCATCTCTCAAGTTGACCTTGGTGCTGTCCCTATGAGGAATTCACAAGTTCATGGACCATGTGTGATAAGACCAAGGTCACCACAGCGTGTCCATTGTATCCAAGTCTCCCAGTCCATTCTCCTTCTAAGACTTGCTGGGGAACAAAGACATGACCCCTACTCAGGCACCCTTCCTTCAACACTCTCATTGTGAGAGATGCCTATTTGGATGGAACAGCTCCCCCTTTTCCAAACTGGGGAGGCCAAATTGGTGACAACCCCCCCCAAAGGACAATGAATATATGGCCATCCTTGGTGCCATTCTGTGCCAGAAGGAGAAACAGCTGACAGATGCAGTGAGCATTTGAAACTACACAGGCCAAAATAAATAAATAAATAAATAAATGGTGACCAGAAAGGGGCCAAGGACCCTTCCAGAAGTCCCAACTCTCATGCACCCAGCCAGCTGCAGTCTCCACAGCAGACAGTCAACATCAAACAGGCCCTGGAAAACTTCCTTTTTCCATACACAACCTCGGCTATGCATCGAAGTTTCCACTGTATACATTTTTATCCAGAGGAAGGTATTTTTATATTCTGACACAAGGACACCATGACTGGTTTGCAGAATAATACAATCTGGGACAAATGAAACATCGCCCCCACCCCGTTGCAGTCAGATACCTACAGGGAAGACCTGGCATGTTCCACCCTTGAAACCACAACGTGGCTGTGATCGAGGCCACACCAACACACTCCTTAAAGTTCACTTTGGCTTTAGTCTGACAGGATTTGAAACTGTGCCTGGCCTGAGCCTTAAAACATGAAAACCCTGCTGTGTTGAATGAAACCTACGGACCAGTGAACAACTCCATCCAGTTCACATCCTGCAACGGTTAAAAAACCTACAAAACTATTTCTATGAGAGATTGATGAACTTTGTTTAAAAATTTTAAAAAAAGGAACACCTTCTGTAAACAAGTCTCTAAATACAGAATTGTATAATTCTAGATGTTCCAATTCTTTGTCCTGGAGCTGGGTGTGAATAGGGAACAGAGCTGGCCCTCAGAAGTGTTGTACAAAACTGGGGAGGGGGTTGGTTTGGGGTTTTTGGAGGGGGGTAGGCCTTTTTTTGAGACAGGGTCTCCTTGTAGCCCCAGCTGTCCTGGAACCAGACCAGGCTGGCCTCGAATTCACAAAGATCCACCTGCCTCTGCCTCCCAAATGCTGGGATTAAAGGCGTGCGCCACCACACCCGGCTATGTTTTTTTGTTTTTGTTTTGACAGGATTTCACTATGCTGCCCTGGCTGGCTTGGAACTCCAAGATCTACTTGCCTCTGCACCTGAGTACTGGAACTAAATGTATTATTATTATTTATTATTATTATTTTATTATTTATTGGGGTAGAGCTATGCCACAGGTGTGCATGTGTAGGTCAGAGGACAATTTGTAGGAGTTGGTTTTCTCCTTCCAGCATATGGATTCCAGGGATTGAACTCAGGTCATCTGGCTTGGTGGCAAGCACATTTACCCACTGAACCAACTTGCTGACCCAAAAATTGTATTTTTTAAACTATTTTCATTTTGTTTTGCTTGTTTTTTGACACAGGGTATTGCTGTGTAGCCCAGGCCAGCTTAGAACTTGTGATTCCCCTGCCTCGGCCTCCTGAGTGCTGGGATTACAGGTGTTTAACAGTGTGCCTGGTAAAAACTGGTTATTTGGGGGGGTTTTACTTTGAGACAGAGTCTCATATGGCCCAGGCAGCCCTTGCTCACTATGTAATAGAGGATGACCTTGAACACTGGTCCTCTTGCCTCTAGCTCCCTAGTGCTGGGATTATAGGCATGCACCACCACACACAGCAAAATTCAAATATGGAGGCATGTCCCTTAAACATTGCATATACTAGTTCTGAAAATCCTACACTCTGACCACTCTAGGCCATGTTCTATTGTGACAACAGTTTGCCAAGGACAGGCCTCCCTTTCATGGTATCTGCCTGGGCACCATGGCATGTGGTTGACGATTAAGCTTTTGGGAAGGCAGAAGGCAGCCAGGAGCCCTTACACCCCAAAGAGCTAGAGTCTGGGTGGTTAGACTCACCTGAGACTAGGAGTTAATGCTACTGCTTGCTCACTCCTGTGGCCACAGGCCATGACCCTCAGCCAGTCTGTAAGTGGCGTAGAAAGAGAGTCATGCTAAGACAGCCTTGCTTGAGATCATATGCTGCCTTCTCCCAACTGCATGAGCCTCAGTCTACATCTGTGAAATGGGGCATTATAGCAGCCACTCAAGGTGCATTCTGAGGTGGCTTCCTGGGAGCCAGCACAGGGGATAGGGCATACCTGTCAGACAGGCCTGAATCAAGAGCTCGACCACATGACTGTCATCTGAAGTGGTGGCTTCAGATGAAGGGGTGGCTCCTTCAATCTGTGACTGGACATCTCGTACATTGGCAGTAGGAGGGGCCTAGGGGCCACTCATCCATGAGCCAGAGCCACATGCATCAGGACAGTCCATCCCCCAGTCAGGAAACCGTCCCACAACCTCTGGTTTCCACACGTCCTCTGTGGGGGACTCTTTCTGACTCATTACCCCCACAAAGCAGGAGAATTTACTCCAAGTCCAAAGCTTAGCTCCCTGGCAGCACAGGATGAGAGTAGGGAGGCAGGAGGTGGGGGAGGGTCCCATGAAGGGTGACCTTGCAGGCTGCCCCAGCATCTCTCACAGAGATTCATGGAGCTAGACTGCCTAGTTTTGACTCCATGCCCCACTTCTGAAAGTTGTGTGCCCTTGAGAAAAATGTCTCAACTTCTCTGTGCCCATTTCCCCAGCTGTAAAGTGGGGTGATCGTGAGAGCACCCTCTTCACCTAGTGGTTACACAGGGACTGGCCTTTCAGACCACAGGTCACCCACCGCTCTTGGGATGGTCAAGTTGGAGCAGTGGGACAAAGTGATATACTCTAGTTGTCCCAGCTACTTGAGAAGCTGAGGCAAGAGCATTGCTTAAGTCCAGGAGTTCAAGACCAGCCTGGGCAACATAGCAAGACCATCTCAAAAATAAAACTAGTCGAAAACCCCCATTCTATGGCCCTTAGGGAAGGTGGGTCAGGATGGGATTTGGTCAGTTCACAGAAATCACCCTTCTATGACACCTCAGTGTCACACTTCACAGAAGACACCCTTCACTTGACACTCTGCAGAAGCCAGTACCCTGTAGGCTCTGGGAGTTCCACTGTGGGTCGCCACCCTGCAGAAGTCAGTACCCTACAGGCTCTGGGAATTCCACTGTGGGTCGCCACCCTGCAGAAGTCAGTACCCTACAGGCTCTGGGAGTTCCACTGTGGGTCACCAGCTTTGGTGTTGACACCATGTCAGTCCTCATTTGCTCTGCAGTGGGAAAACACCAAAATGTGGAATTCTGAGCCAGGGAAAGGAAGATGGAGCAACTGGGGTGGACTGAGGGGGGTGTGTCTCAGAAGAGGTGTGTTTGGATGGGCACAGAGGAGAGCAGCAAGCCATGTTAGGGGCAGTTTGATATCTCTTCATCCAGCTAGTAAATATTTATTTAGTGACTACTGTGTGCTTAGGGCCTTGGTGGAGGGGCAGCACGAGTCAAGGGAGGGTGTCCAGAAGGGTATCTCCATGGCAACAAATGATGACAAGAAACAGAAGGGGATGCAAATCTGAGTGCAGAGGGCACCTCAGGAAAAAGGTGAGGTAGGGAAGAACCTGGAACAGTCCAGAGGAGTAACACCAGATGGGGGCATGAAGAACGACAGATTGGAACCTGGTTGAGAAGCACCTTGGGGCATGATGGGAATGTGTTTCTTCTGAGGGCACTAGGGAGCCACAGAAGGTGTGAGGCAGTAGGACTTGTGCGGTGGTTCCATGTACCTAGAAAGCTGGCCCTGAGGACAGTGTTTCAGCCCTTGATTCTCACCCACGCCCTCCCACCTTTGCTCTGGTTTAGCTCTTTCCATTCAGCCAATCTGAATGAACAAAATTTAGGTCCCAGGGCCCCGGGCCAGTCAGTCCTTTTAAAGCCCAGCTCTCTACAGTCTTGGCTATGGAAACTGGGTTGCTGTAACAGTACCTGGATGCTGAAGCCACCCCACCAAGCCCAAGCACAGTCAGGCTGGACAGAGGTGACCTTGACTAAGATGACTCATTGGGGAACTAGCCTGTGACCTTGCCATACAGCACCTGGGTTTTGAACCAAGCCTGGCCTGGGCTGGTTTCTCCTGCATCAGGAAACCTAGGGCCCCCTTGAGACAGTTTCCTTATCTGTGAGATGGCTGTGACCACAGCAATGTTTGTGTTAGCTGGCTACTGTTGCCAAATGAAGCTGCCCACCCTTAGGGGCTCATAGTCAGAGACACTTCTCTCCACTGTCCCAAGGCAGGAATTGGGCTGGTCACCTGGCTGGCTCTGAGACTGAGGGTCCAGCTGTTTCCCAGATGGAGCCCTGGTACAGTCACCGGCTGGCATCAGCTGTGGTGCCTGGCTCCCAGCACTCTCCAGGTGACCTCTCTAGGTGGTCCTCCCCTGGTGGCAGCCCCAGGTGACCTCTCTGGATGTCCCTCTCCAGGGCTGCTGCAGTGCCCTCCTCCCTGAACAGCTGACCCCAAAGTAGCAAAGCAGGCCCAGAAACAGAAACTGCTTTTCTTTAAGGTTGCAGAGGGGTCGCCAGCCCTGCTAGAGGGGATAGTTGCCCCTGTATGGCCCTCAGGCCTGGGATGTGGGTGGCACCAGAACTGCCAGGCAAGGCTCTGGAAGCACTCAGCCAGCAGACTGCTGCAACCTGTCTTCACCATCCTGAGGCTAGTTGTCTCTCTTGCTGAAGTCACAGATATCCAAGAATGGCCTACTCCTGGTCCATGAAGCCAGCTCAAGGTACCCAAGCAGCCTCATGCATGGCAGGCCTGTGCTCCCTCCATTCACTCACCCTCGTCCTTCAGGCGAAACCTATGGCATAGCTGCTCAGCCATGCACGTCCACTGTCCCCTGGTGGACAGGAATTCTCCCACCCCCCCATGTGGCTGAGGTAAGTAGCACTGCTGTGAACATTATGCACCTTTGTCATTTTTTCCATAGTGGCCACCTGCTGGACCAGAGGCAACCTCACTGGGCATTTAACTGGTGTCTGTTTGTTGACTCAGTGTGGGATATCTTCTCTGGAAAATTGTCTATTTGAGGGTCTCTTTTTTTTTTTTTTTTTTTTTTTTTTTGGTTTTTTTGGGACAGGGTCTCCCTGTAGCCCCAGCTGTCCTGGAACTCACTATGTAGACCAGGCTGGCCTTGAACTCACAGAGATCTGCCTGCCTCTGCCTCCCGAGTGCTGGGATTAAAGGCGCGTGCCACCACGCCTAGCTACTGAGAGTCTCTTGTAAGCTAGGCTGGACTTGAACTATGTGACTCAGGCTAGCCTTGAACTCTTGATCCTCCTGCCCCCACTTTCCATGTGCCAGGATGACTGGAATGAGCCACCATGCCCACGTCTCCTTTTTGGTTGGCTTTTCGTTTGTTTTGCAATGCTAGAGATTGAGCACAGGGAGTGTACAAACAATGCACACCTTTTATCACTGAGCCAGAGCCTCAGCCTCTTCCCAGTTTTTTAACTGGCTGGCTTCATTACTGTTGAGTTTTGGAACTGTCAGTATTCTGTGCAGGTATCCCTCTCCACATGACATTTTACAAGTGTTGTTTCGCAAATATCATCAGAAAATGCAGAACCAACAGGAGTCAGTTTGTCATGGGGTGTTGGGGGGGGGGATTGTACACCTTTAATCCTAGCACTCCAGAAGCAGAAGCTCACTCTGTGAGTTCCAGGCCAGCTGGGGCTACAGAAGACCCTGTCTCAACCAAAATTCTTTGTGTGCATGTGGGTGGGTGTGGGTGTGTTTTCTGAGGACAACTTGGAAGAACTGTTCCTTCCACCATGTAAGTCCTAGGGATCGAACTCAGGTCAGCAGCCTTAGCAGCAAGCTCCTTTACCCACCAAGCCATCTTGCCAACCTATTAGTTTTTAATTGTGTGTGTGTATGTGTGTGGTGAATTCACACCTGTGTGTGCTAGTGCACCTACCCATACACACGTGTGCAGAGGCTAGAGAAAGTTTCAGGAGTCCTGCTTGATCGCTCTTCACCTCATTTCCTTGAGACAGGGTCTCTCACTGAATCTGGAGCTAGGTTGGCAGCCAACAAGCCTCACATCCTCCCCTACAGTGCCAGGATTACAAGCACACACGGCCATATCCAGCTTTTAAGTGGATTCTGGGGATTCAAACTCAGGTCCTCATGTTTACACAGTAAGTTCTCTTACCCACTGAGCCATCTCCCCAACCCCTATTTTATGTTTATTATATGAAAGTTAATCCAACTTGGAGCCAAGATTTTAGAAGGCAGAGCAGGGCCTTTTTCAAACTTGTGCATTGGCTATGGTGAGGTCAGGTAAGAAAGGGCGGGGAAGGGTGGGGAGTAGACAGTTGAGCCACTAGGAGCAGGGACAAAACTGCCCCGTTGAAGCACATGCAAGACACAGGGCCACCAGAGGACAGGGCCTTTTCCAGTGTGGTCGCCTAGCAGCAGAGAGCAGATGGTAGTTTCTAGGGGCAGACTGAGAGGCGGTCGTCCCTCTGTGCCTTCAGGAAATTCAGTTAAGCCAACGCCACTTTGCAAAGTATCACCCAGGGCCACCTTCCTCACAGTCACTCCTGACACTCTAGCTTACCTACTAGGAGCCTCTGGCTACATAAAGGAGAATAATTATGACCTCAATAACATGACTAGAGGTAGAACAGGTTCCTGGGTTCCTGGATGCAGCAGTTCAAGGCCACTTCCAAGTGTGGGACAGACGGGATGGAGCATTTTCCTGAGTGGCCTACTTCATGAATACAAAATGACTGCCACAGCTACAGCTATCAAAGGCATAACTCCCCACCAGAGAAAAATGAAGTTTTTATTGTATCTCATTATAGGAGCAAGACATTTCACTCCCATCTCATTGGCCAAAATTGGGTCACAGAGCCATTCTCCAACAGCTGACATTTAGCCAATCCCTCCAAGTCAAATCACCTCAGTGTAACTTATTGAACTGGACTTATCATCTGGGATGGGCAGGTGTTGGGGAGCCAGTCATGATCTCTGGTCCATGTGTCCCATCTCCAGTGGCTTCTTAGAATAGTCCCTCTGACCATAGTGTCCCCTTTTACATCTTGGCCCTACACAGCTCCCCTAACATTAACAGGTGGACGAATGGGCATGTCAGTATTAACCAACTTTGCCCTGAATCATCCTGCTGTTCTCCAAGAAAACATTCTGGTTAAGGGCACACCTCTGACCTTCCCTCTTGGAGCAGTCTCCCCTACTGCTTCCCTCATCCTGTGCCCAACAGGGGCTGTAGTCACCAGTGCCCTGACTCAGCCTGTAAGGGAGCCATTTCCCCAGTCCCCATCCTGTGCGCCCACAAGGGAGGAACAACTCAGGGTGTACTGGAGGCTCATGAGCACACAATCAGTCCCCTGACCCAAGTGCACGAGGTTCACCAGCTGAAGTTTACCGTAAAGCCAAATCTCCCTGAAGGTGCCTAATTTTCCCAGGCTGCCAAGGAGGAACTGTGTTATGGGCTCTGTGTTTGGAAGACCCAGGGCCTCAGCCACCACACTGGGCCACCTTGGGCCTACCCCTCCACTTCTGTGAAGCCTCTGTTATCCCAATGAAATGGGAGAGCAGACCCAGAGGGTGGGCACCACTCCCCACCAAGCCAGGCCTTACAGTAGACATTACCAATCTTCTATCACAAGTGCTTGCCCTCTACTTGCTGGGTGCCAGGATTCTCTGCACTCAATCCTTAGCCCCTGCTATTAACAGGTCAGTGAGAAGGGCCACAATTTTTTTTTTTTTTTTTGATACAGGGTCTATGTAGCTCAGGCTGGCCTGCCTCAGCCTCCTGAGTGTTGGGATGCCAGGCTAAAAGCCATTCCTAACCTCGGTCAGGCTAACATCCATCCTGACCCTTAGAATATTGGGCCAGCTTGCTTGTCAAATCTTTCTTCAAGCTCTGTTACCCCCACGTTCCTCCTGAGGGTACTACTGCCTGGCCACAGGATCAAGGCTGTCACTCCAGTTCTGATTTTCCAGCTATGTGGCAAACATCTTTGAGCCTTCATTTCCTTCCTTAGAAGACAGAGCCAGTATCTTCTCTAAAAGGTGCTGGGGCTTCCTGGCTGGGCATCAGCCAGGAGGGATCATGCAGCCAGTGACCCCTTCTAGGACCTGCTCTGGGTCCTGCCAGGTATATCAATCAAGGGTTATATAGGGAGAAAAGATACAAGCAGCCATGACTTGACCAACTTTTATTTGGGCCCTTGTACCCTGCCCGCAAGCTGACATCTCTCTTAGCCTGAGTCAACTGGAACTGAACCCCATCTTGTGCTTTAGGAGAAGGGGGCATCTACACCACTGCCGCCAAGGATGAGGTCTCTGTACCTTTTGAGTTTGTAAACCCATCCCAGACCAGCATCTCTACCTTGGCCCTCCTGCTGGGCCCCACCAGGAGGGACAGGGATGGACCAAGTCCCCAGAGGCACCTGTGAAGACAGCAGGGCTAAAGAACAAAGAGGTAAGGACCCAATCAGCTGCCATAGGCCGGCACCTGTGTGTCTCCTGCGAGGATCCAGCTCCCTGGGGACGGTGCCGTCCAAGCCTGGGGCCAGAGCACCATCCCCTCCCTGCCAGCCAACAGTAACAAAAGTGCTTGGGGCGAGGGGGACAAGGCAGAGAAAAGAAAAACCTGAGTACCCTATGTACCTCAAAATCAAACCTAGAGCCAAGCGGGCCCCTGAGCCAGCAGGGAGCCAAAGGCCCTGGCATCAGAAGCCTTATGGGTCCCCAGCCCAGGGTCTCCCAGGGCAGAAAGGAGTGGCCTGGAGAAGCAGATGTTGGAGTGACAGTGTCCCCATGTCCTCAGGGTGGAGCACTGAAGACTGTAAACATGACCCAGGTATGGCAGGATATCCTGCACAACTCTGGGAGAGAAACTGCACTGTGGTGAGGAGTGGAGCCAGCAGGGGACTGTCCCCAGAGGACACCCATTGTAGCCCTTCAGAGAGATTCTACTGCACCTGGGCCCTTCCCCAAAGGTGATAACCCAGCCCTGGGCTTCTGTCTCCTCCCTGTGAACCCAGCTGGGCCAAGCCCAAGGCTGGGGGGGTCAGGTGACTCCCAGAGGCCCCGCCCCAGCCCAAGGAAACAGCAAAGGTATGAGGCCCAGCTGCCTGCCAAGGCCTGGGCAAAGTCCTGTCTCCACCCGCTCCATGCCAGGAGCCTTGGGGCCATGGTCAGCTCACACTATGCCTTCCAAAGGGTTCGTCAACCTGCTGCTTCAGCAGTAGCCCAAGCCTCAACTACTGGGTCCAGACCTCAGACCCTTGTGAGGCCCCAGCACCTGGTGGACCCTGGGCCCATAGGACTGTGGCCAGCTCCAGGCCTCTGAGGGTTGCATGGACCTCTAAGGTCACTCAGGCTGCCCAGGGCCAGAGTTTTCTAGAAACCAGCCCAGAGGGCTTTGAGGAGTATTATTAGGTCTTGAGCCTTCAGCATTGGGTACCACAGACTCCAGAGGAGGGCCTTGTGAGTCACATAGTCCTACCTCCCCTGGGAACCTGGTGCTCTCAGAACTTCAGTCCAGGCCTCTCTGGGCCTTCTGCACTGGACTTCCCTCACTGTCACCAAGCCTCTCAAGGCTGGGCCTGAGTCCCACCAGAACCAGAGGGCTGACAGGAGACCTCCAGGTTGGCAGGGCCAGAATGGCCACCATGGGCCCCATGCCACTGGCTCCTGAGGGCCTGCACCTCCTGTCCGTAGTGGTCATGCAACCTCGCGAAGGACAAGGCCGAGGGCCCGTTGGGTGTTGAGGCCCGGCGTCGAGGTGGCAGCGGGGGGCGCTTGGGGGCTGTGGCTGGCTGCTCAGGCAGCGCACTCCACACTGCCCGGCCATTCTCCTTGGGCCGCAGGTTCGGAGCCAGGCTTGGGTTCGAGGTCAAGGATGTAATCAAGGCCGAGGTGGGGCTCCCCTCCCGCATGGCGGCCAGCTGCTGCTCCAGCTCCCGCACCACCAGGCGTAAGTAGTGGAAGCTGGCCCGTGACAGCGCCTTCACCCAGCCCTCCAGGGCTGCCTGGCTGTCCGCAGCCAGCACATAGGGCCGCGACCGGACGCCTGCGAAGCGCACTGCGAAGGCGAAGTCCTGGCGCGCATCCACCAGCTCCACCGTGCACCCCTCCAGCATGATGACGCCCAGCGGCTCGCGGCTGGCCTCATCCTCGAAGTAGAAGAGCATGTTGCCGCGCAGCACGTACCAGCGCCGGTGCGAGCCGGCCCGGCCGCCATGCTTGTATAGGAAGCCTGCATTGTCCACTGGTGCATCGCACGTCGCGTAGAAGGCCAGGCTGCGCTCATTCAGCTTCATGGCGCCCACCGTGCCTGTCCACACCACAGCCTGGTTACTCCCCTGGCCACCGATTCCGGGGTCCCCAGCAGCCCCCCCTCCCCCAGTACACCTCCCCTACCCGAGCGAAGAGGCTGCGGTGGAAGCAGCTGCCTGGTCTCACTTGGCTGCCCTTGACTCCAGAAACAATGGTGAGTTCCTCCTGCTCACCAGACTCTGAGCCCAGGTTAGCTCAGCCCAGGTTAGCTCAGCTCACCAGACACTAAGCACACCTCAGTTCAGCCTAGCAACAGACCTTGGGTGGCAGGGGCTGGCATCATTCTCACTTGACAGATGGGGAACCAGCACAGACAGGTCAGCCACTAACTAGCCCAGGTCACAAAGCAAGCTGAGCAGAACCTTTTTTCTGAAGGACAAGACCAGTGGGCACTGTTGGTCCCTATAAGGTCCCAGCTCTGTGTAATTCAGCCTTGGTTTGCCAGTCCATAAAACAGAAATGAGTACAATCTATGTCAGCCTCACAGGCATTCATCACTTCATTCATCACACATTAAGCACCTAGGGTATACCCAGCACTACTGCACTACAAACAGCAATAAGCCAGAGGGAGACTGGAGCATACTCCATGGTAACAGGTGAAATTTGGAGGTAGATAACATTAGCTGCCATACGGGAAAGATAGAAGACAGCAAATGGGAGTCACAAGTGTTGAGATCAGGAAGAGTATCTGACATGGTCATGGGAAGCCAAGCTGAGAGGGAGGCAGAGATCTGGGGTTGGTTAAGGGAACTGTGAGGAAGGGCATAGCAGGCAAGGGGAATAGTGAGTGCTCCAGGGAGGGGGGAACAGGGGAGGCCTGGGGAGTAAGATACAGTCAGAGGAATGAAGTGACTGTGAGGAAATAAACTAGAAAAAGTAAGGGCCGAGCCAGGTGTGGTGGCACACACCTTTAATCCCAGCACTTGGGAGGCAGAGGCAGGAGGATCTTTGTGAGTTCAAGCCCAGCCTGGTCTACACAGTGAGTTTCAGGACAGCTGGAGCTACAGGGAGACCCTGTCTCAAAAAAGACAAAAAATAATAAATAATAAATAAATAAATAAATAGCCGAAGGCTCAGTCCAGACTGACAGGCAGGAAGGCACAGTGCATACTGGCGCTCATTCACAGAGCACAGAACACTCTAACTCCCATCTACTACCCAAAGACTACATGTTGGGGCCAAGCAGGACTTATGGGGAGGTGGCACATGGGTTCCCAGTGTGGCCATGCCTTCCCTGAGACATCTCTGCCACATGAAAAGGACCTGCACCCGTGCTCTCTTGCCACAGCTTGACCCTATGTAAATTGTAGCTACAATTTTTAAGAAGCGAAGTATGTAAAGTGCCTGGAATACAGTAGGCACTCAGTGTTTGCTCCCCTTCCTGGGTGGTGCCTTACTTGAGGCCTGGAGGAATGAGGTCTGGGTGATGGCTCTTTGGGGCCCAGCTGGGCCACCTGACCCAGGGTGGAGGGAGAAACTGCTACCAAGCTAATGCTTATTTTCTGGATTCTTCATGCCTTTCATATCACAGTCAGGGACAGCTTCCAGCTGAGTTAGAAGCTAGGACCAACTTATCCAACAGAGCAGTGGGTCTCAGCCCCTGAAGGCTCAGAGTATTTAGTCCCCACCCTGCCTCCTTGTACTGTGTGACTGAGTATGCAGGCTGTCTCTCTCTGAGCCTGTTTCTGTCTCTCTCTGAGCCTGTTTCTCTCCCCAGCTCCCACCCTGCTCACTGGTTCACACGTCAGCTCTGCAGTGTCCAGGCTGGGTCACCCCAGGCACAATTATTCTCTCTGGAGCTCTGTTTCTGCATCTGTAAAATGGGATCACAGTGGTAATGAAGTCAGGGGCATGACAATGAGATGAGAATACCAGGAGCCAGGCTCCTTGCAGGGGTGGCTGTTAGCATTCTTCTAGGCCACCCCCTAGTCTGTCTAGTCTCAGCAAATGGCCCTTGGGTCTCTCTCACCCCCACATCTAATCACTAAGGCCAGGTAATGCCCCAACATCGTCTAATCAATAGCTAGTTAACTCTTAGGTTCCTGTCTGTTGGACAGTAACCTCTCCAGCTGTCACCTGCCTCTACCCTTGCCCTTCCCTGTCCCAGCAACTCACAGTAAGATCCAAGCTCCCCAGGCCCACCTCTGGCCCCACAGAGGGACTCTATTCAAATGAAGTCCTATCACACCCCTCACTCCCAGCCTGCATCACTCCCCACTTGCCAATATAAACCCCAATTCTCCCCATGACCTCCAAGTTCCTTTCTAGGCCTCTGTCCCCTTTGCTCACAGGGCCTCAGCCACCCTGGCCTCCTTTCTGTCCTCAAATGCACCAGGCATTTTCCTACCTTAGGACCTTAGCCCTAGCTGTTCTCTGTGCCTGGAGTGCCCTTCCCTGACCACAACATGGATTTCTCAGCTTTACCACCTCCTGGGGACAGTCCCCCAACCATAAAAGACTGCCTAGCCACTCTCCTGCACCCCAACAGGAAGTTACCTGAGTCATTTGTGCCTGCTCCAGGAAGGCAGGGTTTTTCTGTCTGGATTCAAGTGCCAGGCGTGTAGCAGGTCCGCAGGAGCCTGTTGGACAGAGCCAGTGCTAGCTCACCTTGGTCAACCACAAGGCAAGGGGGTCTGTTCTCCATCCCACATCCACCTATGGGGAAATTGAGGCTCTGGGCAAACAGCCCAGGTCAGGCACTAACTTTGGAGTCCCTACACACAACTATGACTGACAGAGCAGTCATCGGCCACCTTCCCCCAACTGCCCAAGTGTGCCACCCTGGTCCAAGGTCAGCAGACAGGAGATCCAGCTAAGCCCCTGCCTGCCTGCTACATCCAGCTCAGGTAGGAAAGAGGCCAGAAAGCAGCAGAGCCCAGCTCCAGCCTAGCCTGGATGGAGCACCTGCTCCCCACTTATCTGGGCATGCAGCTCTCCAACAAGTTCAGAGTCCACTTGTGGGCACCAAGCTCCTGATTGAACAGGCTTGCAGCCAGGCAGAGCTCTGAGGGGCCCAGGCATGGTGCTCCAGGGCCAGAGTCTTGCCTCAGCCAGTCCAGGGTGAAAGTTCTTGGACCAATCACCTCTACTTTACAGGCCTCCCTCTGCTCATCCAGACTGGGCTTCGAGGAAAATTTGATGAGCTAAGACAAGGAAAACCCATGGCAAACTAAGGGAAGAACATTCCAAGGTAGCTCAGGCTACCTTAAGAAGCAGAGCCTGAGGAAGGGGATTGCCAGGAATTTGAGGCCAGCCTGACCTACACAGCTAGACCCTGTCTTTTAAAAAATGGTAGATGGCGACATGGCTGGGTAAGGGAAGGGCACCTGCCATCAAGCCTGAGCTGGATCTCCAGGGTTCACAAGGTGTAAGGAGAGAACCGACTACAGCAAGTTGTCCTCTGACAAACAATTAAACAAACACACACGTAAACAATTAAGCCCATAAATATACAAAACCACAGTAGGCAATTAGCCCACCGTCAGCAGAGTCACCGCTGACCCTTGAGGCTCTGGGGAAACTGAGGCAGGGCACCGCGGCACCCGCTTCATGGAAGGAAGACCCAGGTGTCGCCCAGCGGCAGCCGTCACAACCCCGTGTCCTCCCTGGTGGCTCGCGGCGGTGCGGCCCGGCGGCTCTGGAGGCCGCAGGCGGGTCCCAGCTCGATGGCCGTCACTGATCCGGGCCCGGCCCGCCCGGCCCGCCTTACCTCGCTGCAGGGGCTCGCACTGGGGCCGCTCCTGGGCCCACGCTGACCGCGGTGCTTTGTCTCCCGCGGGCCCGCGAGGGACAGAGGAGGCGCGGCGGCCAGTGTCTAAAACCCACGGACGCCCCTTATACCCTGCGCGGCCCGCCCACTCCGGGCCCGCCCTCCCATTGGCCAGTCTCTGCTCAGCCCGCCTCCCGATTCGCCACGCCCCTACAAGGGCCCGCCTGGAAACCACTCTTAAAGGGACCGTGCTGCAGTTAAGAGTCCTAGGGCTCTGTCCCAAAACACAGGAGGATTTCAACCAAGGAAAAATTAGTGCCACTTCAAAAGTTAAGGGCCCGGAGCTGAAAATGGCTCAATGGATAAAGGCGCTTGCTGCCAAGCCTAAGAACCTAAGTTCAAGCCCCAGGGCGTACATGGTGACAGGTTCTAGAGAACTTACTCCCACAGTTTGTCCCCTAACCTCCATGGCACACCCATGACCACATACACAAAGAAATGTGGGCTGGAGAGTTGGCTAAGTCGGACTGCTCTTGCCGCGAACTTAGGTTCAGTTTCCAGCACCCACATGGCAGCTAACAATGGTCATAACTCTGGTTCCAGAGGACCTGACGCCCTCTTCTGAATTATGTGGGCATTGCATGTAACTGGTGCATTTGCATGCATGCAGGCAAAACACTCATACACATAAAAAATAAATTGGGGTTGGAGAGATGGCTCAGCGGTTAAGAGCATTGGCTTCTCTTCCAGAGGACCTGGGTTTGATTCCCAGGACCTACATGATGGCTAAGAACTGTCCATAATCCGACACCCTCTTCTAACCTCCATGGGCATTGCATGAGATGGGTGCATTTACATATACTCATACACGTAAAATAAAATATTTTTAATAAAATATTAAATATAAATATTAAAATAAATTTTTAAATTTTTTGAAAGTTAAACACAGGCCATAGATTGGCCTGGGAAAAGCACTGGGGCCCTAGGAAGGCCAGGGAAGTCTGAGACTTGGTGTCCCAGCCCTACTCTGGCTACAGTTATCAAGCTGGGTAAATGGACCATCCAGCTCAACTTAAAAACAAAAACTCTAATTTATGAAAATCTGTTATGTATTGGAAAAACAAAGTTCAATAAAAGATGTTTCAAGACAAAGTCAATACAGGTCTGTTACAGGATACCCAGACATCTGATCCCTTAGCCCAGGTGAAGCGAGAAAAGTTAGAGAGGTGGGCAGAGTTGGAATCCCACTGAGCCACTAGATGGCTGTGTAACCTTAGAGCAATAGCTTTGCTTCTCTAGGCTTCCAAGTCTTGGTCTGTAAAATAAAGACAAGCAAAATACATATAAAGTATATGACTCAACAGCAGGTACTGTCAGTAAGTAGGAATTGCTGGGTTTTACTTTTTTTTTCTTCCCAAAATAAGACAGTTCCACTTCCCTGAATCCTTTACTTCCTGTTCCTTCTGTCTCCTCCTCACTTCCTATACTTTTGTATCCCTGTCCAGTCCTAGCCTGAGGACAAGAGCAAAACAGGACAGACCAGAATCCCTGCGTCATTCCACAACAACTCACTATCACATATTGTGTGCCGCCAGCTGTGCCTGACCTAGACAAAAATAGTCAGGAGACGACCAACAAACAAACTGAGTTATAGAACCACTTGTTTTGAGGAGGAGGTTAGGCAATGGGGTGGACTGGGAGTGCCACTTTGAGAAAGACTTTCAGGACAGGCACTAAGGAGCAGAGACCTAAAGGAATTCAGGAGGGAGCCATGCGGATACCTGCAGGAAAGGTGTCCCGGGTGAAGGGAATAGCAAGTACAAAGGCTCAAAGTGGGGCACAAGCTATGTGAGCAAATGAAGGAAGACTAAGAAATTAAGGCCAAAGATTTTTTGCAGGGCCACATTGCACGGGACCTTGTGAACCATGGGAAATATTTTTGCTTTTAAGCAAGTATGGTGGTGCACGCTTATAATCCCAACACTTGGGAGGCAGAAGCAAGAGGATAGTTTGAGTTCAGCCTGGTCTATATAGTAAGTTCCACATCAACTGAAGATACATAGCAAGATACTATCTCCAAAAAATTAATTAATTTAACTTTTTTTTCAGGGATGAAGAGGTGGCTCAGTGGTTAAGAGAACATCCTGCTCTTGCAGAGGACCTGAGTTCAGTTCCAGCATGCACATTGTACAGCTCACTACCACCTACAATTCAGCTCCAGGAGATCCAATGGCCTCTCCTGGCCCCCGCAGGCATGTATGTGCATGAGCACTCCTGTGTGCACATGCATACACACACACACACACACACACACACTTTAACATAAAATAAATGCTTAAAAATATGTTTTTTTCTAGCCAGGTATGGTGGCACACAAATTTAATCCCAGCAGCACTTGGAAAACAGAGGCAGATGAATCCCTGTGAGTTCAAGGCCAGCCTGGTCTACATAGTGAGTTCCAGGTCAGTTGGGCTACAGGGAGACCCTGTCTCAAAAAGATAAAAAGAAAAAAAAATTTCTAGGCCAGGCATGAAGGTACGCACCTTTAATCCCAGCATTTGGGAGGCAGAAGCAGGTGGATCTCTGTAAGATCGAGGCCAGCCTGGTCTACTTAGTAAGTTCCAGGCCATCTGGGGCTACAGTGAAACCCTGTCTCAAAAAACTAAAAAGAAAAAAAAAAATTTTTTTTTGTTACTTTGAGAGGACTAGGAAACCATGGAGGGTTTGGTTTTGTTTTGTCGAAACAAGGTCTTACTATGTAGCCCCAGCTGGCCTAGAACTCAATATATAGAACAAGCTAGCCTTGAACCCATAGAGATCGGCCTGCCTCTGCTTCCCAAGTGCTGGGATTAAAGTTGTGACCCACCACACTTGGCCCATGGAGAGTTCTGAACGGAGATATAATCTTTAGGGAACCATAAGAAACAAAGGAAGGGTAGGAGGCCCCAGCAAGAGCCACTGCAGTGGTCTAGTGATTGTGGCTTGAAGCAGAGTGGGACAGTGGAGTACAGAGGACTGGGTAAATCTGAATATACATACACATAAAAATAAATCAAAAAATGAAATTTTTTGGTCTTTTTGAGACAGGGCTTCCCTGTAGCCCCAGCTGTCCTGGAACTATGTAGACCAGGCTGGCCTTGAACTCACAGAGATCCGCCTACCTCTGCCTCCAAAGTGCTGGGATGAAAGGCGTGCTCCACCACACTTGGCCATGAATATGTTTTTAAGATGTATGCAAGATTTGCTGATGGCTTGTATATGGGGAATGAGAAACTCAGAAAAGAAGTCAAGAATGACTCCAAACCTTGGGGCCTAAATAATGGAAAAACAGGAAAGCTTGGGAGGGGAAAAACCAGAGTAGTCTTTATCAAACAGAGCAAGTAGAAATCCCTATGTGAAAAAATAAACCCAGGTTGGCACCTCACACCAAAGACAAAGGATAGTACAAAAGGGATGCTAGAATTCAGCATGAAAGCAACACTGGGAAACTCTTAGGGGCCTGGAGGAGTCTCTGCTAGAAAGGGCTCAGCATGCAGGAGGCCCTGGTTCAGATCCGTGAGTGGATGTCCTAGTTTGTTTCTTCATTGATGTCACAAAACACTCTGACCAATACCAACTTGGGGAGGAAAGGGTTTATCTTACATCTCCCAGGTCACAGTTCTTCAGGGAGCCCAAGGTAGGAATTCAGGGCAGGAACCTGGAGGCAGGAGCTGGAGCACAGGCCATGGAAGAACACTTACTGGCTTGCTCCCCTGGCCCCTGCTCAGCCTGCTTTTTTATGCAACACAGGCCCACCTGCCCAGGGGTGGCACCACCCACAGTGGACTGGGCCCTCCCACATCACTCAACAATCAAGAAGATGCCCCACAAACATGGCCACAGGTCAGTCCAATAAAGGAAATTCCCCAATTGAGGCTCCCTCCACCCAGGTGTGTCAAGTTGACACTAAAGCTATCCAGCACAGTGGGGGAAGTTCCAATCTTCCAGAAGAAGGGAAGGAGGGGGGAGGAGAATGGGAAGAGGAAAGAGAAAGAAAGAGAAAGGGAGGGGGAAGGGGAGGGGAAGGGAAAGGGGACTGGGGATAAGAGAGGGGAGGGGAAGGGGAGGGAATAGGGAAGGGGAGGAGCCAGGCAAGGCAAGGGAAGGGGAAAGGAAAGAAAGGGGTTGGAGAGGACTCAGCAATTTAGAGCACTGGCTGGTCTTGCAGAGGACTCGGGTTCCATTCCCTATACCCACATGACGGCTCATGATCAACCATAATTCCAGTTCCAATGCCCTCTTCAGCTCTCTACGGGCACTGCATGCACATGCTGCATTTATATACAGGCAGGCAACCAAACACTCATGCATGTAAAATGTGATTTAAAAAATTTAAGACAAGTGACATTCATGAGGGAAAAAAATATTTTTCAAAGCGAAAAATTCAACAATATTGGCTGTGTTTATAATGTTGTAAAACCACCACCTCTGTTTAGGTCCAAAACAGGTTTGTTTTTGTTTTGAAACAGGGTCTTGCTATGTAGCAGAGGCTAGAGTCAATCGAACTCACTCTTCTCCTGCCTCCACTGCCCAAGTGCTGCTAAAACTCCAGATGCACACCACTGTGCCCAGCTCCACATTTCTATTACCTCAGAAAGAGAGCCAGGACTGGGGATGTAACTCAGTAATTCAGCGGTAAAGTACCTGCTTAGCATGTCTGAGGCCCTAGGTTTGAGTCCTAGTATTATAAAAAGGAAGGAAGGGAAGGAGGGAAGGAGGGAGGGAGGGAAG